AACCCTAAAAAAAATTTTTTTAAAACATAAATATAATTATAATTTAAAGGCAAAATAATTTTTAAAAAAAGGAAAAGCAACCGTTTTTTTACGGGAAACATAAAAACCGAAATTTAAAAAGATAAAAACAATTTTTTATGTTATTTATGAAAAGGAAAACCCCGCCTTTAAATTTTTAAATGTAAAAAAGGGTTTAAATTCAAAATTAAATTCAATATAATCAGTCAAAGCAAAGACTAAATGTTTAAGCTCTTAATCCAAAGGTTACTTACAGAAGGCAAAATCTACATGCAGTTGCCACATTGTGCTTTATATAAACTTTGAAAAAAATATTATTTCCGAATTTTGATATTCTTTTTGATATAATTTTGGAGGACATATTGGGATGGAATTTTAAGTCTCAATTTAATTATATAACTCGTTCAAAAAGTTTTTTTTGGGAAAAGCTGGTAAGGAATTTCACAGCATTTTTTGGATATAAAAAATTTTTTTTTGGTAGGGCAATTTTTACCAATGCGCAAACACTGAAATAAAATAAATTATATTTTTTTGTTTTTAAAAAATACGAAAATGTTTTTCCCAAAAAAAACAATTCCCACATCACCTTCATTTAAAAAAAAAACATTTGGGCTTTTTAAATGGGAAATTTTTTTGAAAAGTAAAGAACACATCAGAAAAAAAGCCCAAAATCCAAAAAAAGGAAAAAAACGCCTTTCAGCCTTTAACGTCGATCAGGGCATGCTAAAAAGGGAAAAACAGCCCGTTCAGGGCGCATTTACGGGGCGGTTTGGGGATTTTTTCTTTTATCCCGGGGAAGTGCTTTTTCGCTTTTGGGATTGCATACGATAACCATGATTTCCTGATAATTGGTGGTATATTTGGAGTTGGCGGAGTGATATTTTTCTTCATAGTGTTTGTCGGGCACTGTAGATTATACTTTAGAAATAAACATATTCGTGCAGTAGCCTTTGAAGAAACAAATAATGTTCAGAACAGATATTAAATGTGATAAGACAACAAGCAGCGAAAGAGTTGCAACATCAAAGTGTAGGCAAGGAGTGGGTGAGAGGGTGAAAAAATAATAAGCCAAAATTTGAAGTTTTAGCTTTTGGTGTTCGGTACTTGCAACAATATCAAATTTCTGACAATCAGTCAACGAATTCTTTAATGCAAACCAGCGATAAAATTAAATTTAGAATGACTGATATCTAACTACACATGTATATATGTATGATGTTAACAATTATTTGAGAAAGAAACATTTATGTAAATTATTAGCATCTGAACATGTTGAACTTGATCCGTGCTTTCAGCACTTTTATTATAAACCCCCGGGTTCCCTTTTTACAAGGGACAGCTGAATTTTAAGCTTGCAATAAAAGATACAGTATTCCTTTTCCGGGAAAAAAAACAATTTTTACCGGGCATTCTTAAAGGGTTAAAATTTTTGGGGGCTGCGCAAAAAAAAATTTTTTAAATTTTGGAAAAAAAAAACTATAAAAAAAGATATTTCCCCCAAACTTGATGAAAAAAAATTTAAAAATTCCCCCATAAACCAATAAAGGGATAGTCAAAAATCATTGCTAAAACGGACAGAACCTTTCTTAAAATAAAAAACAGAAACCAAAAAAAAAAAATTTTAATTTTTTTTAACATACAATAATTTAAATACCAAAATAAATTTTCTGGTTTAAAAATATTTTTACAATATTTGGGCTTTTTTTTTTCTTTCTTTTTTAAATCTTATTTTTAAATTTAAAATCAAATATTCCAAAAAACCCGGGGGGTTATTTTAAAAAGTCCGGGGCCCCCATTTTATAACGGGGTTTTTAAAAAAAAACAAATGTTTTGAAAAGTATCCCATACATGTAAAGCGACAAATAAAATAGATATATTTAATTTTTTGGGAAAACTTACAAAATTTAAAATTAAAAAAACTTTGTCATTAAAATTATAAAAGACTATAAACCCCCGCAAAGCATTTTAAAAAGGGGTTTTTTAAAAAACTTTTTAAGAAAAAACCCACGATCATAACAAAATAAAAAATTTTTTTTCATTTTGGGAAAATAAAATTTTTCCAGACAAGGACTTTTTAAAACACGGGCAAGATACACTTAATCGGGTTTGGGTTTTTTTGGGGCCTTAAATTGTAATTTAAAAAATACTGGCCTTTAAAAATATTCAATAAATTTGGGTTTTGTTTTCCCAAAAACTCAGTTTATCATCCACCTTGTTTGGAAATTAAAACGATTTCTTTTTATCAAAAGGATTTTTTAAATTTGATATTTTCAGTTCTTAAAAAAAAAAGAAAGCATTTTGAAATTTCAATGCATTTTTTTTATTATTGCGTATTCTTTAAAAACAATTTCGGGGGCTAAATTAAATCCCAATTTTTTATTTCCCTGACATAGGGTTTTAAGGGCACGGAAAAAGATATTAAAGGTTGTACATTGGAAGTGTATTTTTTGGGAAAATTTTAAATTTATTACACAATTTTTAAAAAGAGATATGGTTTTTCGATTTTTAATCAGTTAAAAATAAGCATTTTTAAACTTTTTTCTTCGTACAAAATCAAAAAATGCAAAGGGAAAGAAAAAAAGTTAAACGTGGGGTATAGCTAAATTGGGAATTTAAATAAAATTTTAAGTAAATGCGCGAGTTAGTGAACCAATCAAAATGTCTGGTCAAAACCAAGCATTGCCAAGAGTAAGGTCAGAAGTGGCAACCAAAGAACACAAGCGTCAACTGGCAATGTACCTGGAACAAAATAAGACAAAATTTTCTACAATTTGTTTAGGAACGCTGGTGTTTGTGTTTTGTCTGGGAGTAGGCGTGACCCTGATCATCATCGGCGTCGTATATTCTAACAAAGGTAGTCTCATCCTCGGAAGTATATTTTCTTTTGGTGGAGTTGTTTTCTCAGTCATTTTTGTCTGCGGACAATGTAAACCTTATTTAAAAAACCGACAGATTTATGCCGAGTATACAAGAGAACTTTATCCGCCAAAGGAAACTAAAACGACAGAAACAGTTGTACAAATAGTTCCGCCGACGTCTACAGACAGCGAAACTAATACAAAAGTAATATTCTTCTAAAGACATTATTAAATTTTTTCAGACCGATTTGGGGAAAAATTACAGTTTTTTTTAACTCATTTTTTAAAACCAAAATTTTTGTTTTAAAAAAAAAATTTTGTATTAAAAATTTTACTTTTTATGAATTGAAAAAGGGATTCTTTTTCCCCAAAAATAAATACATATTATTTAACTTTTCCCCTTTGGGAAAAAAGAAATGGGAAAAAGGGGGAAAAAGCCTTCCCAAAAAACCCAAAATAATGGTTGGGGGACAAGCATAAAACCAACCCCGCCCGCGCATTTTCCCCCCGCATCCGATCAGGGTTCATGCTGTTTGCAAACCCTTTCTTTACTTGTTAATTTTTTAAGCGAAAGCAGGATCCTAAACAACTGGCAGGGTGGTCTGGATCCATCTGGGCGAAACCCCTTTTTTGGTTTCGGGATCTGATCAGGATCCATGGCTTTCAATATTCCAAAGACAAACAACCAAGGCCTTGTCTGCCATACGTCGTCTTTATGTGCTTCACATTTATGCAAAATCATTTTAAGCTACATCCATGTATGACAAATTTATGGAATCAATGAAAAACGGAGAGGGCGAGACTCCGTCCGACTGAATAAAAATTCAAAGCTATCATTGTTTTCAGGTTTATTTTGGTATTCATTTCTTATAATATAAAACATTTACATACGCCTCTATCGCAATGGAAGAAACTACAAAATGCCATAAGGGTATAAAAATTATTTTATAAAAACTTTAATTTACATCATTACAATAACACATTTTAATATTTTTCAAATCTTTTGGCATGATACACAAAACAAATGAAAATTAATAATTGGGGTTGCATATATTCAACTACATTTTTTAAGAAGAAAGATCTATAATTTTATTTTGGCAAAGATGAATAATTTTCATGTGCTTCTAGAAATGGCTTCATGAACATACATAATTTTTTACGTTTTTCTCCCTTTTTTATGTTTTCAACTTTAATTTAATTAACCCAAAAGGGAAAAAAAATAAGGGGGGGTTTTCCCCGGGGGGCTTTTAAGGTTTTTGCCTTTTAAACCAGGGGTTATTTTTCAAAACCCAAATTGTTTACGGATCCCCTTTTTTTTAAATAAACCAGTACGGTTTGGGCCAGGGAGGGGAAAACCCAAAAAGGGTTAAAAGTAATTCAAAAACTTTTTTCCCAAACGAGCAAAAATGAATATGTTTAAACGAAGGAACGTATATGATAGTGATAGATCTGTTAACTATACCCTATATTTGATTAAAATTATTTGTAAAATACACAAACAACAATCAAGGATATCAAACTTTATATACGTTCTGAGGTATACATTATTACTATTGCTAACATTAAAGTTTGATGATTCAGACTAACCAGTATTATAATCCGATTTTACATATACTATTTAAAGGCCAACTACGCCAGCAAGATTCATGTCAAACTCCAAACGTATCAAATAATCGGTTATCAATTTGCCATAGACCTAGATTCTTTTCATATTATTTAACTTATTTTACCAACAGTTTTAGCATCATATTTGAATAAAATTACTTTTGTTCATAGCAGTGTATTCAGAAAACAAGACGGCAGTTAAGTTTAACCATACATGCATTTATGCTCGATTGTGAAACAACATTTTGCAAATTATAATAATCATGTATACAACTAAACAGCATTTATGCTATACAAGAAAACAATGAGACATAAACCCATGAACTATGTGTTGAGAGAAAGACAGTTTACCAGTTATGCCACTGGTCATCTTAAAATGAGGTGACAGTAGATACAACAAAGCCAAAAATACTAAACTTTTGTACCTTACGTTTACATAGGCAGTGATTTCTTTGCGATATCAGAGGGCGAAAAAACCTTTTTCCCAACTGACAAAACAGTTAATGATTCCCAAATAAATTTATGAAATATCTCTCTGAACCTGATAATCTATTAAGCGTATGACATTTTTATGAAAAGCACCATTTAAATGTTGGTTAATTGATGTTTTTAAATTTCTCAGGCCTACAATTCATGCGTTTCGGGTAACCCGACCTAGCCACGTGTAGCCCCGCCACCCTTAAGTTTTAAGGGACAATAATTGTATGGCGTAGTCGTAACGATGGCTGTATCAATAAAGTTTAATCCCTCGCTTATAAAGGCTGTTGCCCGAACGACAAGATTTATTTTTTGCTCTACTAAGCTTAAATCTATTCCTTTAAAATAAAACAATGAATCACGCACTTAAATAGACATTTTCTTAACACGCACTTAAATAGACATTTTCTTAACACGCACTTAAATAGACATTTTCTTAACTTAAGTACACAGAAATGTCCATAAATAAGTAATAAATTATATGCCTAATATCACAGATAATATTTATACATGAAATAAATATAATAAAACTATTTAACAGGAATGATACATAACAAAACTTGCAATGTTTAATCACAGAGCATGTCTTGAAAAACATGTACTGGGGCCTACATGTATTTGATTCATCAATAATTCTTAAAGTTACAAATTCTTTCAATGTATATAAAAAACACTAATTTACTTATAAAAATCAATAAATAAAAAATATCAAAAGCAAAACTACAAATTGTATATTTATGAATGATGTTGTGTAATACCATACAGTTAACTGTAACCTGCTTTTAGCACACTTGTGCTCTTTTAGCACACTTGTGCTCTTTTAGCACACTTGTGCTCTTTTTGCACACTTGTGCTTTTTTAGCACACTTGTGCTAAAATGAGCACCGCGTCTGGTGTTAACGCTCGTCTGTTAAAAAATACACTTGACAAAAATTCTAAGTTCGGTATAACTCCAAAAACATCTTTCAGAATCATGCCCCTTGTTTGCCACGATATATATAATAAAAAGTATTCTAGCTTCTAAATTTCATATCATTACCTTAGAAACTGTTAATGGGCCACTTAAAGTTTTTTGCACGTACGACAACAAGAACGCCGCAGCGATAATAATGATAATAATACGAAACAGACGAGCTAAAATGATTTACATTTGACACCAGTACAGCCCAGATGCAAGTTGCCTAACGTTTGTAGTTCTATATCAAAATTGTTTGGAATTTAAATTATTGCTCCAGTTTAAAACTGGGCAAATCCATAAAACCAATTCAGAAGGTTTACTCAAGCAAATAAAAGTAAGTCTACATAACGAGTATATAAAACATTCAAATAATTTACCATTTTCCCTTAACCAGGCTAGATGTATAATAATATGATAACGAAACAAGTAAAAAAAGGAGAAATACCAACATGAATTAAACAAACAGCATAACAAAGTCGAAATTTTAGAATGTATTAACGCCATTTAATCTTGTACAAAAAGATGACGTTTTAATACTTAGACTAATAATGCCGACACAATCGGCAAGAATAATTATTATATTGCAAAGTAATGTTCAATTGCCAATTGCGCCAATTACCTTAAAATGCAATAATAAGCACCGAGCTATTTCAAAAAAAGAGACAACAGTAGTATAAAAAAAAAATCCTGTAACAAAACCATTTATAAAATGGTTGATAATATTGCCAACAATAACTTTCACAATTATGTTTTATAGAGCACAGAATAATCGGTGTCTTCCAGTTGTTCCCTGGCTTGACATCGCACAACAACTAATGCTATTGCAAACAATACACCACCGAATGAGAAAATACCACCGAGAAGGTACAGATCTTCCATGTTATTTATCCAGCCAAGAACTAGTAAACCTCCCCCTATTCCCAATATAATTAGCATCACTACGACACCACAAACTATTTTCCCAGTGTCTGACCGATGCTTTTTAAGTAACTTCATTGCACGTTTTTGCCTTTCTTGAAATGGTGATGGTGTTTTAGTAAAATTCATTTCTTTCCCGTTGGACGACAATCTGACTGTTGGCATATCAAGCTTCGCTCGACTAGCATTCAGTTCACCTACACTAGTATTTACACTTTCAACACCTGTGTCGGTATAATCTCGAAGCCTCAATTTTCTTCCCGCTCCACTATCATTTGCCAAGAGACGCTTTTCTTCCCCGGAGGCTACATTACCGTCATTTTCATTATCGTCATCATCCTTTCCAAGAGCATTCAACAGAAGTTTAACACAGTCTTCCTCATCTTCGCCTAGGGGCGTTTCTTCATCAGGCTCCTGAAGAAGCTTTTCACTACTGTCATCACCAGAATGTTCTGTCGCCATTTTTTGATTTCTTTAATGCAAAATAAAATTACTTTAAGTGGTTGATTGATTTTAGTGTATCAATCAATATCATTAGTTTATCTTAATGAATAAACTTAATCCAATGAAAATGATGGGAAATGATAACTTTAATTATCACTAATTAAATCTTCATCGAACATTTTTTCTTCTTCCATGATTCAAGTTAATCGAAGACATTTGCACAAATTCATACCAAGTTCTCCATTACTTCTGATTGCCAGAATTCCCAATGGTTTTTATTTTGAATCTGAAATATAAAAATAAGGATACCATTTAAGCATAGCTAATATGATTACAAATCTGTCCTTCATTGCGTGTATATTTCTGAACATACCTAAGATTCATAAAATTATTATTTCTTCATAGCATACTATAAATGCCGAGATTTTGTTATGGTTGGTTCAATATTCTTCACCAACGCGCGCATGCACACATGCACGCACACAGACAGACGATCACCACGAGTTTGAAACGCTGTAGTATAAAAAATATCAAAATTTTCATAATCAACAGCTGATCAACGTTTGAAGTGTTCACATACATGTATACTAACTTAATTAAATTGCTTCCGCTAAATACACGTAAAGTAGGATATTTCAGTTAAAAGTACATGTACGTTTGACTGTCATCCTGTTGTGTTACAGTAATATTCTTTCCTATCAAAAACGTACTTATGTAGTGTGTTAAATCGACCATACATGCGACCGACACAACGAGACGACTATATTAATAGAGGGCATGAACAAGTGTCATAATGCAGAAAATTGTACATGTATATGTCTCACAGTTTAATCGAACCTAGATTTATATTTGCTGAATTCGTGCATTTAACCCTCTCAAACCCCACTGAAACAAGCATCTTACGATCATACAGTGTATACACGATATATATTAAAGGCATTTTGAAATATTATTTTGAATAATATCTAAAGATAAAATGTAAATGAAAAATATTTTGAAATACACTTACCTTAAACTGGTTTACTTCTAATATCCATTTTAACAGTCCATGTATATATGCCGTTATGTGTATTTGTTCTGATAAGATATAGTTTATTTACATATTTACTATATTTTGTATAAAACCTATAATGTACATGCTTATATGGTCGTAATCGGTACACATCGTGTGTGTATAAAGATTTAAGACGTTGTGTACAAAACGACAACTGTGTTTATGCATAATATCGCCGTATTTTCACCTGTGACTCAACTCATTCATTGATTCTATCTATCTATCTTCCATATAGTCAAACCCCTGCTGGGGACCTAGACTTGACGCGCGTCATCTGACAAGAATGTTAGTAAAAGAACTGAAATAAAAGATTATAAAAGTAATGGAAATGAGTAAATTGTTAAAAACAGGTTAAAAATAGAGAAGGTATTTTAGGGAGACGTATGTTCAACCCGGCTTACAGCCAGACTGAACTCGGGGCCAGACAAGTTTATGATTTCAGGTGGTAAAGCATTCCAGTGGACTATTGTTCTTGGGAAAAATGAATATTTATAGTAATAAGTTTTAGTTTGGACTTGTTGGAATGCATGGGGATGGGATGTTCTTGATGATCTTGTAAGAGGGACGATATAATTTGGGAAAGGGATAGCCACCTGGTCATGCAAGATGTTGTGAAACATGACCAGGCGTTGGTCAATACGCCGAAGGTCAAGGCGCCTCCATTGAAGGGAAGTCAACATGTCAGTGACACTCGACATACGGCCAAAGTCATGTTTGACCCACCTAGCAGCTCTTCTCTGGACAGACTCTATCTGGTCAATGAGAGTTCCTGTGTAGGGGGACCAGACCGTGGAGCTATACTCGAGCTGGGGCCTAACAAGTGTCTTGTATGCATTTGACTTTAACCTTTCTGAGTGAACCTTGATATGGATACAGTATAGCATACAAGACAAAGTTTATAACCGAAAGGCGTGAAAATAAATCTGCTGACTCAGATAATTTGTAACTAGGAATTATTGATGAATCAAATTCGACTATCAGTCCGGTAAAAAGTTACTACGTATATCATTAATAAATGGCCATCAAATATATCCGATGATCACGAATATAGACGTTTACATAAATACGCGACAGTATTATCGATTATTGTTATTAGATATCAGTCTGTTAAAATGCGGACGTATTCGCGGTGATTTATATTTAAGATTATCTCCATTTGTAAACACTTCACTTCCTCTCGGAACGTGCACGTCGCCGAGAAGGCACTGGGCTATTGGCAGAAGATTGATAGCGAAAAATAAACAACTGCGGACCAGCTGCCGGTGTCCCGGAGTGGCCCTACAATGTAGGCAGAGACGACGAGGATGGTGTGCTTAGGTGCGTGAGCTCCTGGCACAGGTAGCCGGCTTATAAGGCAGGCCCTTTGCTTGGCACCAACAGCCATTTTAAGGGCTTCCTCCCAGGTTACTGTACATTTAGGTCCTCATTTACTGGTCCGTCTAACAGTGACCTACTTCTGACTCAAAATTAATAGTCCGTGGAAACTGCATGGAGGTAAATTATCACCACTTTGTGCTTCAAAATTAAACCTGTAAGGACATGACTGGTGACATGTACAGGGTCCATACTCGACAGCGAAATCTGCTTTTTTTGCCTTACCGGACGGACAGTCATTAAACATATGAAAATAACTAATTGCTTAATATTGTTCTTGTGAAATGTAACGCTATTCATAGCAAATTTACCACGTTGGGACATGGGTCTTAGATGCGACACATCATCTTGATATGGTAGACATTTTTGCAAAGTTATTTTAAAGCCCTTCAATGCATGACAATGTTACAGTTTGGAAAATAATGTGTACCTTCAAACTCTTCTTATAATCATTAGTATCTTCAAACTTTTAGAGTTACCTTGACGAACATGGGTCTTACACAGTGTCAACACGTCGTCATGATTAGGTTATTTTAAAACTCTTCAATGCATGACAGTCCGGACACAAATATGTATCTTCACTCTTCTTGAGAAAATGAGTACCTTCTAACTGTAAGAATGACCTCGGAGTCTTCTTGATGTAGTAGACATTTTAAAAGCCTTTGATGCATGACATAGTTACAGTCCAGACACAAATGTGTGTTTCTATAATCTCTAATTGTGATAGCGTGAACCTTAAAAATGTAAGTGTGGCCTTGACCTTTGAAAAAGGGAAGGGTTCATGGATGGGACACAACGTAGTGATGTGTTATTGACATTTGTGCCAAGTTATTTCAAAATCCCTCAATGCATAATAGTTACAGTCAGGACACAATTTTATGTTAAGTGGAGACGCACGGACGGACATGAGTCATAGCCGCGACACATCATCTTGATGTGGTAGACATTTATGCCAACCTTTGATGCATGACAAAGTTACAGTCCGTACACAAATGTGTGTGTACCTATTAACTCTTGTGATAACGTGAAACTCCAAAATGTTAATGTAACCTTGACCTTTGAGGTAGGAACTTGATTCTTAAAAGCAACACATCGTGTGGTAGACATTTGTGCCAAGCTATTTCAAAATCCCTCAATAAATGACAAAGTTACAGTCCGTGCACGCATGAAGTGGGGATGCAGACGGACTATGCGACTTTAATATGCCGCCGTTCGAAGGCATAAAATATAATTCGATACACAATTGTGTAGAAATTAATTGTTTTGATTTCTTTCATTTCAATAATCAAGAACCACACAAACGGCGGACTGGACGTTTATGTCCATGTAAGATGGTACGTTTCTAGAAATTCAGCACTAGTAGCAGCATAGATACATGTATTACTATCATTTCAAGAGCTTTTGCCGTCTTTATAGACTTTCTGCTGGATTTTTGTTATCATAAAAGCATCGTATCCTTAACAATAAAACACAAGTTTATGTGCTTGTAAAAATAGTTACAAATACCGTGGGAAGGACCACGATAATGTTGTAAAATCTTATGGCCAAACCCTTTTGTATATTGTGTAGTTATGTTGATGTTAAAGAATTGGTGCATTTTCATATATGCAATAAAATATTACTAATAGACTAACTTATTTTCTAATTTTTATCTCATAAGCACCACAGATATGCTTTAATCTCCACTCTCAAAGTAATTTATTGAATTATTATTCTATCAAGCCGTCTATTAAAACATTTTTAGTTTGCACCATTTCTCCAATGAATTTGATGCTTTCATTAAAATATAACTTCAACAAAACAATTTAAAACAATTAATTTTATTGCAACTAAAAAACTAATACAAATTAAAAAGATGCTAAATCACAATTTAAGAAATAAGAGTACACAGTCACAATTAAAGAAATAGTGTGCCAAGTCACAATTAAAGAAATAGGGTGCCAAGTCACGATTAAAGAAACAGGGTGAAAATAAATGGTAACAGTTGCAGCAACCACCAGAAAATACTTGCAAACACTCGACCTGAAATTAATACAAAAGCAACATTATTCAAGGAAATAAACAAACATAAACCGTATGTGCTTGTTATTGTATAGTTGTAAGTGACCATACAATAATATTATTAGAATAACATCAAAATAGACCAAGCGTTGTAATTATTGCTCCTAAGCTATTTATAAGCGAATGATTTTTTGTCTAACATGAAATTTTTACAAAAAAATTTTCAGCGCGCCAGGCTATTACATGTTATCGTTAGCCGCACGGGTCCAACCACGCCCCCCCCCCCCGTCAGGTCGTTAGGTAACTTTACACTTGTTGCTCTGTACTGTTTGGTTCTAGGAACAGATTCGAATGCGTGTCTATAAGCTTATAGCTTCCTAAACAATCAGACTAAAATGACTTCTGTATTATAAACCAATGTAATCAGAGCTTTTGCAAAGTTAATGATTTTGGTATACTAACCAACCTCAGCTTTCTTAATAAAGTTTTGGCACTTTATAGGGATTGCTAGCCGGCTATAAACTTTTTCCAAACAATGTATCAACTGATCTTTTTAAATATTAAAATAATTTCCTTAAAGGCACATTATATCTAAGCACGGATTAATATTACATGTAATATAAATCCGTGATGGATTTATATTACATGTAATATAAATCCGTGATCTAAGAAACAAATAAATATTTTCTTCTTGGAAAAGACAGAAATTAATTTTATAACCTTTAAACAATGGAATTAGAGCAAGTAACATGCTTATCCTCTGATGAAAGTAGTGCTAATGTGAAATAATGTGTCATAAAAGTAGCAACATGTAAACAAAGTATTATTTTGACTTCCATACAAAATACTAAATCACTATAACTATACTGATCGCTAATAATGCCTTTAATTAATGTTTAACTTATCCATTTAATATCATGAATTTCTTTATCTCTCACTTGAGCTTACCAGAGCTTTCTGCACCACTCACTGCTTCCTTCTGTACCACATGTACTATCTTATGGCCAAGTGCTCCATCAAGATATATATTCTGTTGTTGAGATAGGTAATTCCTCTGAAAAATTGTAACTGCTTCTGCTTGTGCACGTGTGAATGCTCGAAAATGGCCAGTTCTTATATTCTACAAATAAGAAAGTTTTCCATTTTAAGGTATTACCACTCTAATAGGCACTATGAGGAACTAAAAACTTGACATCATAGGTCAGATATATACCTTAAAGTACACATGTTACTGTATGCAAAATTTAAACAAAGTTTACCGTACGGAAATCAAGTTATGGCCACTTTTCTGAACTCAAGCTAGGATGTAATGAGGGACTTTTTTTAGAAATGAGGAACCTTTAAATAATCTGCAATAACATTCTAATGAAAAATATTTCCCATTAATTTTTGGTAAGAAACAAATAGTATCATTCAGCTAACAATCCACATAAGGGGGCAGGGGACCTAAAAATGAAAAATTTTGTATTTCAGTGTGACCAGAAACACAATTCCAAATATTTCAAAATCTGTTTCACAGGCAGATAACCAGTTGCACAGCATTATTCAATGATATATGACATACATTGAAGAAAATAATAGTTTGCATGCATTGCTCCTTCAAAAAATGACTGACAGCAATTTATATTTACCCCCACCCAGCCAAAATCACACCTAAAATATACCAATATGGGCAATCTTCATGAAGGTGCAGCATACTCCAGAATCCACCCGATTCCTTTAAAAATATCGGTAACACGCAGTGCAAGCTATGGCATTTTCAGAAATGACAAATAAAGTGTCTGTCATACGTTTAGATTTTTCACAAAATTTATCTGAAATTTCTTACTTGTTTGGCGCCAACTGTCAAAGCTTGATTTTTAACTTTTTCACCTCCATTCGGAGAGTCAGAAATACATACAAAGCTACCAAAATGCTTAGTTTCGGGTAAAAACCCAAAAATATATCTCATTTCCTACACACAAACAAGAAAGAATTACAATGACAGAGAAATATCAGAAGTTATTAAAAAATTTGACCGGGGCCATCATTCGAATATGTCCCCTGCCCCCTAAGCAAAAGTATGGTTTCTACTTAAAAGTTATGAAATCTGTATAAAAATGTTACGCTACCCCACCCATATTTGCCACATTACTGACCATTTCCCTACTTAGGGAGCCTAATTTAAAAAATCCTTAAAATTTATCCAAATGAGTCCCTGTTTTCAAAGTTTCCCTAAATTTTTAAAGTATATTGGTTGCAGATCTTGTAAAACATGACTAGTTTTGATTTTATTACACTTTGAAAATATCAGGTACCATATTTATTACTAGATTTAGCATAATTTAGCCAAAAAATACCTATATAAATAAAAAAATCAAATTAAACACTTTTTTCTTTCCAAATGGGACATGAGAGATACATAAGTAATGTTAAAAGAAAAAAAGAATGAAAAACAAGAGCCATGTCAACATGGCCATCCCCCACCGAATGTGTTTGCTCATTAGAAGAATGTATATGTAGTAGAAAAGAATAATTCAATTTTAAGAGGTCTTTTGGTAATGAAACCGATGGCTGAAGTGATTACAGATTTGAAACCTATGTGAATACTGATGGCTGAAAATAACAAAGGGCAATAACTAAAAAATTATTCAGGGTAGGTATTCATTCTTGTGTGCTGCACCCCTCCTCAGTAAAATCTATCCACCTATGAAGTTTCAAGTTGATACCTAAAATACTTTTTAAGATAAGCTCCGTACAAAATAGTATGAAAAAGATCAAAGGGCAATAACTCAAAAATTATATAGGGAAGAGTTATCATTCTTGAGCACAGCATTCCGCCATAAGATCTATCCACCTATGACATTTCATGTTGACATCTCAAACACTTTTGAGTTATGCTTCACTCAGGTGAAAAATTAAGTATGAAAAATAACAAAGGGCAATAGCCCAAAAATTATGAAAGGTAAAGTTATCATTCTCGTGCACTGCACACTTCCTGGGTAGATCTATGCACCTATGAAGTTTCGTGTTGATATCTCAAAGGCTTTTTTAGTTATGCTCTGGACAAAAAATTAATTTTGAAAAATAACAAAGGGCAATAACTCAAAAATTATGCAGGGTAGAGTTATCATTCTTGTGTGCTGCACTCCTCCTCAAGGAGATCCATCCATCTATGAAGTTTCAAGTTGATACCTCAAATACTTTTTGAGATAAGCTCCGGACAAAATAGTATGAAAAAGAACAAAGGGCAATAAATAAAAAATTATATAGCGAAGAGTTATCATTCTTGCGCACAGCATTCTTTCTCAATAAGATCTATCCACCTATGACATTTCATGTTGACATCTCAAACACTTTTGAGTTATGCTCCACTCAGGTGAAAAATTAAGTATGAAAAATAACAAAGGGCAATAGCCCAAAAATTATAAAAGGTATAGTTATCATTCTTGTGCACTGCACACCTCCTGAGAGAGATCTATGCACCTATGAAGTTTCATGTTGATATCTCAAAGGCTTTTTGCTCTGGACAAAAATTAATTTTGAAAAATAACAAAGGGCAATAACTCAAAAATTATGCAGGGTAGAGTTATCATTCTTGTGCACTGCACTCCTCCTCAAAGAGATCCATCCATCTATGAAGTTTCAAGTTGATACCTCAAATACTTTTTGAGATATGCTTCGGCGGGGGATAAAAAAGTTGACCCTTCTGGGGATTGAACCCACGGCCCTCATTTTCAATGTAGTTAACAGTAGTTCTAGCCTATTTGAATCCTCTTCAAAGCTGAGGTAATGCATTAGGATGGTAATACCTAAAGTTCTTTTGATTTTAATATGTAATGTTTCTTTTTATCTTTATGTGGAATTTCACCATATAAACCAAGATAAGAAAACTGATGTACATCAGATTACATGGATGACAATCTGATCTAATTTCAAATACTTGTTGATCTTGCCCATCACACCATGAATACAATAACACAACATTTTTTGGGGCCAAAAACACTTGTCTTGATATTTTTGCCTACTGTACTACATTTTACTTTTTTCACTTTATTTCGTAACTAACAGCTTATTAGATTTTCCGGACATCTTACAATCTTATGGACAAAAGTTTGCAAATGTAATAATTTAGAGTTGTTAATTGTGTCACCCTATCAGAATACAACAAAAATAGTATCTAAATTCACAATATTTTGTAACGGATCTTTTGATGCTACATGTGGTTAGGAACCTGGATGCTGTCCTCTATACAATGTGTCATGATGATGATAATTTGTAAAAAGTTATTTAAAAACCTTCCTAACAGTCAAGACACAAAATATGGCCCTCCTAACATCTGTCCTTGAAGTGTGACTTTGACCTTTGTGGTAGCATGATGTTTAGTGTGCTCTGCACATCATATTGTCATAATGGTGAGCTTTTTGTGCAGTTATTTTTTAAAAGTTCAAAAGTTATGGAAGCCCTATGCAAGCAGTCACAAAATGTAGACTATTTACATTTGACGTTTAAGTATGACCTTGACCTCCGGGAACTGGCTCTTGCACTCGGCACATTTTCTCATCAAAGTAGAGTCATTTGTGTTACATGTATTTCAAAATCTTTTCAGCAATATAAATGTTATGGAATGGACATGAAAATGTTACTGACACCAAACCAACAATTTGGGTCTATGGGCTCTATGAGGAATATTTTCACAAAAAAAACAACAACAAAAAAAACAGTGAAAATTACAATGTGGTTTTCTTCTTAAAATCAATGGAAAGGACCTCATCACTGGATGTTTGTCCGGAGAAAGAGAGACATACAAATGTCAATCTTATGATCTTCTCCCCACAGGGTATTTATAAATAAAAATACAGGGCATGAACTCCAAGCAAAAAGCAGAGAAACAGCAAAAGATAAAAACAAGTCACCACCATTTAAAACAGTGATACATGGACAAACAAGATATGTTTGTAAAACATGTATGCCCCCTATCAGCAGCCAATCAGTCATGTGATAAGGTTATTATGCATGACTTCTGACCCAGTGATCAAACAATTAATAAGGGTTATAAAGTATCTACTGGTCATGACCTTGACCTTTGACCCCTTGACCCAAAACTCAATAGGGGTCATCTGCTGGTCACGAACAATCATCAAACAAAGTTTGAATTTCCTAGGCCTAGGCGTTTTTAGTAAATTGATCAGAAACCGTTTTTACCTACAAGGTCAATGTGACCTTGACCTTTGACCCCTTGACCCCAAAATCAATAGGGGTCATCTGCTGGTCATGACCAATCACCATGCCAAGTTTGAAGTTTCTTAGGCCTAAGGGTTCTCTTATTATTGATCGGAAACCGTTTTAACATACAAGGTCAATGTGACCTTGACCTTTGACCCCAAAATCAATAGGGGTCAACTGCTGGTCATGACCAATCACCATGCCAAGTTTGAAGTTTCTAGGCCGAAGCGTTCTTTAGTTATTGATCAGAAACCGTTTTTACTTACAAGGTCATTGTGACCTTGACCTTTGACCCCTTGATCCCAAAATCAATAGGAGTAATCTGCTGGTCATGACAAATCACCATACCAAGTTTGAAGTTCCTAGGCCTAAGCGTTCTTGAATTATTGATCAGAAACCGTTTTTACTTAAAAGGTCAATGTGACCTTGACCTTTGACTCCTTCACCTAGAACTCAATAGGGGTCATCTGCTGGTCATGACCAATCATCACACAAAGTTCGAAGTTCCTAGGCCTAAGCGTTTTAAGTTAATTGATCGGAAACCGTTTTTACCTACAAGGTCAATGTGACCTTGACCTTTGACCCCTTGACCCCAAAATCAATAGGTCATCTGCTGGTCATGACCAATCACCATACCAAGTTAGAAGTTCCTAGGCATAAGGGTTCTTAAGTTATTGATCGGAAAGCATTTTTACGTACAAGGTCAATGTGACCTTGCCCTTTAACCCCTTAACCCCAAAATCAATAGGGGTCATCTGCTGGTCATGACCAATCACCATACCAAGTTTGAAGTTCCTAGGCCTAAGGGTTCTTTAGTTATTGATCGGAAACCGTTTTTTACCTAAGAGGTCAATGTGACCTTGACCTTTGACCCCTAGACCCCAAAATCAATAGGGGTCATCTACTGATCATGACCAATCACCATCTCAAGTTTGAAGTCCCTAGGCCTAAGGGTTCTTTCATTATTGATCGGAAACCATTTTTACCTACAAGGTCAATGTGACCTTGACCTTTGACCCCTTAACGCCAAAATCAATAGGGGTCATCTGATTGGTCATAACCAATCACCATACCAAGTTTGAAGTTCCTAGGCCTAAGGGTTCTTTTGTTATTGATCAGAAACCGTTTATAATTAAAAGGTCAATGTGACCTTGACCTTTCACCCCTTGACCCCAAAATCTATACGGGTCATCTACTGATCATGACCAATCACCATACCAAGTTTGAAGTTCCTAGGCCTTAAGGTTCTTTAGTTATTGATCGATAACCGTTTTTACCTACAAGGTCAATGTGACCTTGACCTTTGACCCCTTGACCCCAAAATCAATAGGGGTCATCTACTGATCATGACCAATCACCATACCAAGTTTGAAGTTCCTAGGCCTAAGGGTTCTTTTGTTATTGATCAGAAACCGTTTTTTAATTAAAAGGTCAATGTGACCTTGACCTTTGACCCCTTGACCCCAAAATCTATACGGGTCATCTACTGATCATGACCAATCACCATACCAAGTTTGAAGTTCCTAGGCCTTAAGGTTCTTCAGTTATTGATCGGAAACCGTTTTTATCTACAAGGTCAATGTGACCTTGACCTTTGACCCCTTGACCCCAAAATTAATAGGGGTCATCTACTGATCATGACCAATCACCATACCAAGTTTGATGTTCCTAAGCCTTAAGGTTCTTTAGGTATTGATCGGAAACCGTTTTTACCTACAAGGACAATGTGACCTTGACCTTTGACCCCTTGACCCCAAAATCAATAGGGGTCATCTACTGATCATGACCAATCACCATACCAAGTTTGAAGTTCCTAGGCCTTAAGGTTCTTTAGTTATTGGTCAGAAACCGTTTTTGCTTACAAGGTCAATGTGACCTTGACCCCTTGACCCCAAAATCAATAGGGGTCATCTACTGATCATGACCAATCACCATACCAAGTTTGAAGTTCCTAGGCCTTAAGGTTCTTTAGTTATTGATTGGAAACCGTTTTTGCTTTTAAGGTCAATGTGACCTTGACCTTTGACCCCTTGACCCCAAAATCAATAGGGGTCATCAACTGGTCATGACTAATCACCATACCAAGTTTGAAGTTCCTAGGCCTTAAGGTTCTTTAGTTATTGATCAGAAACTGTTTTTGCTTTCAAGGTCAATGTGACCTTGACCTTTGACCCCTTGACTCCAAAATCAATAGGGGTCATCTACTGGTCATGACCAATCACCATCTCAAGTTTGAAGTTCCTAGGCCTTAAGGTTCTTTAGTTATTGATCGGAAACCGTTTTTGCTTTCAAGGTCAATGTGACCTTGACCTTTGACCCCTTGACCCCAAAATCAATAGGGGTCATCTACTGGTCATGACCAATCACCATACCAAGTTTGAAGTTACTAGGCCTTAAGGTTCTTTAGTTATTGATCGGAAACCGTTTTTGCTTTCAAGGTCAATGTGACCTTGACCTTTGACCCCTTGACCCCAAAATCAATAGGGGTCATCTACTGGACATGACCAATCACCATACCAAGTTTGAAGTTCCTAGGCCTAAGGGTTCTTTAGTTATCACTCGGAAACCATTTGGTCTACGGACCGACGGACCGACAAGTGCAAAGCAATATACCCCCTTTTTTTCAAAATGGGGGCATAATTATTCATGTTATTCCTGTTGACATACTATAATTCATCAAATTAAACAATCTAGTGTAGTAAAATAGTGAAGCCAACGCTGCTTTTAAGTAAGTTTTTTTTATCTAAATATTAAACTTTGCCATGCTAAAATTGTTATCACTTTTAGGAAAAATTAAAAATATGTACTGACTAAAAAGCATTTACATTACTGACCATGATCAGATGTAACGGATGCGCTGGCTGATCATGGTGTGCTTTGGTTAGGTTGGTATAGACAGTTTCAGCTGTCCGAAGGCCTTGGAAAAAAAAAATTCTTATTTTCATTTCATATCAAATTTTACCTTGAAAACATATCTAGGTATTTTAGGTATAACTGCAGGGTCAAGACCTTGTATTGCACTCTTTGACAGATCTGTAATCTCCGAACTAGAAAGTCCAGCTGAAAACGTAATAGGATATCAACATTTCATTATCACCAATTATGACTAAAGAAAATACAATCAGAAAACGTATCTGTTTTGGTGAACTAAATGAAACGCAAACTAAATGAAATCAATTGCAGTCGATTGCAGTCCAACAGCAATTTGTTTTTGTTAATTTAATAAAAGGCAATTCGAAATTAACCCTTTTTAAGTCTAAACTAAAATTCCAAATTTGTGTGATAAAATTAACTTGTCTTAAATTTGGAATTGCTCCAATACAAATTTAAAGTTGTCTTCATTTGAAAATAAATAAATAAAGCATCTTAAAGTACAGTCAACTTGAATTGCTGCACAGATGTTCAGGTTAGCCTGTATCCAGGCTTCAATTACAGCATGCATGTTACCTAATATGAGCCGCGTCACTACAAAACCAACATAGTGCGTTTGCGACCAGCATGGATCCAGACCAGCCTGCAAATTTGCGCAGTCTGATCAGGATCCATGCTGTTCGCTATCAGTTTCTCTACTTGTAATAGGGTTGGAAAGCCAACAGCATGGATCCTGATCAGACTGCGCAGATGCGCAGGCTGGTCTGGATCCATGCTGGTCGCAAACCCATTACATGACACGGCTCATATTCATTTAGATAATTATACATACAACTGTCTGTATTATTTGTCTGGTATTATTTGTCAGCAATTAATATATAGAGGATATTTGTTTGTTTGTGTGTAAGATGAAATTTTATTTCATCGAGTGGGCTTTAAAAACAGTATTCTCACGAGTGGCGTAGCCATGAGTGAGAATACTGTTTTTAAAGTTCACGAGATGAAATAAAATTACATCTTACACAACAAACAGACAAATTTTCTTTTTATTTTATGCTTAAAAACAAGTTGAAACGAAATTTCCATAATTTCAACGTTACTATTAAAATTTGTTTCCCCCATTGAGAGCCCCATTTAGACGGAATTTCACATTAAAAACAAGAAGTCTTGAGCTGAAAAATAAGTCCGCCAATCAAGGTTAAACGACGGTGATATTTATTCATTTTATTAAAAAAATATGAATGATCGCTTGTTTTAATAATAAAAACAAACAATTCTTGTAGGAGAAAAAGTCCAACCATCCATCCATATTTCTGTTACTTACTGCGAATTTATATTAGACCTGGCTTTGTAAAATGTAAGCGGCAGCCATTTTTTAAAGTTGTGTATTTCATGGGAGGAAAATAATTGTGTAAGATTCAGAGGGATATAATTTGGATTTGTTAGTCATGCACCTTTTTAAAAGAAAGAAAACTTATTTGAGGATTGTAACAGACAAAAACTAGAACTGCCACTATCATGGCGTGAATACCCCCGCATACCACTTTGTCAGAATCTACAGTGGCCATTTAGAGCTCATGGACAACCTCCCTGCCAAATCTGAGGTTACTAAGCCAGTGCATTGCTAAGTTATGTATTCTTCATGCTTCAAATGTGAAAATGTCAAAATCAATACATTGCGGACAGGACATTCTTTAACAATTAAGAAGAAAGGCTTTTTTTTGTCAAGGTCCCTGTGACCTTAACCTTTGACCCAGTGACCTCAAAATCAATAGGGATCACCGTATAGTCATGATCAACATCCATGCCAAATATGAAGACTGCGGGTCATAAATGGGTGGACAAACTTTTTGAAATCAAAGTCCCTGTGACCTTGACCTTTGACCTGGTGACCTCAAAATCAATAGGGGTCATCTACAAATCATGACTAACCTCCATTCCAAATATGAAGACTGTGGGTAAAAGGAATCTTAAGTTATTGGGCGGACAAGCTTTTTGAAGTCAAGGCCCCTGTGACCTTGACCTTTGACCTGGTGACCTCAAAATCAATAGGGGTCATCTACTAATCATGACTAACCTCCATTCCAAATATGAATACTGTGAGTCAAAGGAATCTTAAGTTATTGGGCGGACAAGCTTTTTGGAGTCAAGGCCATTGTGACCTTGACCTTTGACCTGGTGACCTCAAAATCAATAGGCGTCATCTACTAATCATGACTAACCTCCATGCCAAATATGAAGACTGTGGGCCAAAGGAATCTCAAGTTATTGGGCGGACAAGCTTTTTGAAGTCAAGGCCCCTGTGACCTTGACCTTTGACCTGGTGACCTGAAAATCAATAGGGGTCATCTACTAATCATGACTAACCTCCATTCCAAATATGAATACTGTGAGTCAAAGGAATCTTAAGTTATTGGGCGGACAAGCTTTTTGGAGTCAAGGCCCCTGTGACCTTGACCTTTGACCTGGTAACCTCAAAATCAATAGGGGTCACCGTATAGTCATGATCAACATCCATGCCAAATATGAAGACTGCGGGTCATAAATGGGTGGACAAACTTTTTGAAATCAAAGTCCCTGTAACCTTGACCTTTGACCTGGTGACCTCAAAATCAATAGGGGTCATCTACAAATCATGACTAACCTCCATTCCAAATATGAAGACTGTGGGTCAAAGGAATCTTAAGTTATTGGGCGGACAAGCTTTTTGAAGTCAAGGCCCCTGTGACCTTGACCGTTGACCTGGTGACCTCAAAATCAATAGGGGTCATCTACTAATCATGACTAACCTCCATTCCAAATATGAATACTGTGAGTCAAAGGAATCTTAAGTTATTGGGCGGACAAGCTTTTTGGAGTCAAGGCCCCTGTGACCTTGACCTTTGACCTGGTGACCTCAAAATCAATAGGGGTCATCTACTAATCATGACTAACCTCCATGCCAAATATGAAGACTATGGGTCATAGGAATCATAAGTTATGGGGCGGACAAGCTTTTTGAAGTCAAGGCCCCTGTGACCTTGACCTTTGACCTGGTGACCTCAAAATCAATAGGGGTCATCTACAAATCATGACTAACCTCCATTCCAAATATGAAGACTGTGGGTCATAGGAATCTTAAGTTATTGGGCGGACAAGGTTTTTGAAGTCAAGGCCCCTGTGACCTTGACCTTTGACCTGGTGACCTCAAAATCAATAGGGGTCATCTACTAATCATGACTAACCACCATGCAAAATATGAAGACAGTGGGTCATAGGAATCTTAAGTTATTGGGCAGACAAGGTTTTTGAAGTCAAGGCCCCTGTGACCTTGACCTTTGACCTGGTGACCTCAAAAATCAATAGGGGTCATCTACTAATCATGACTAATCACCATGCCAAATATGAAGACAGTGGGTCATAGGAATCTTAAGTTATTGGGCGGACAAGGTTTTTGAAGTCAAGGCCCCTGTGACCTTGACCTTTGACCTGGTGACCTCAAAATAAATAGGGGTCATCTAATAATCATGACTAACCACCATGTCAAATATGAAGACAGTGGGTCTTAGGAATCTTAAGTTATTGGGCGGACAAGGTTTTTGAAGTCAAGGCCCCTGTGACCTTGACCTTTGACCTGGTGACCTCAAAATCAATAGGCGTCATCTACTAATCATGAGTAACCACCATGCCAAATATGAAGGCTGTGGGTCATATGAATCTTAAGTTATTGGGCGGACAAGAAAAAACCGACGGACGGCCGGACGCCGGACGGCCAGACGGACAAGCTGATTCCAGTATACCCCCCTTACAACTTTGTTGTGCGGGGGTATAAAAAAGTGTTGACAGATGTGAAAACATTCAGAAAAGGAGCTAGGAAAATGGAAAACTTGGAAGCTTGCTAAGGAACGCTGGGTTGTTTTACTTATTCTACGAGTGATGGCTGTCAATGCTTTTCAATTTTTCATAAAGCATACGGCAGTTATTGCTCGTAGGATACTTTAATATGCCCAAATGTCATCAAGAGCAGTTTTGCATGGGGAAGGAATGTATTTTTCAGACTGTAAAAACGAAACAAAAAAATTTAGAGACGAAATTTGGTGATTGGAATATGAATGAATAGAAGTAATTAAGTTTTCTCTCTTTATTACTTGTGACATTTAAGTTAATTATCTATTTCAGCTTTGCTATTTCTTTTAACAGCCTGACATTGTCAGAATTGTCAGTAAAAATAAAATTGAGGTACCACATGGGGAAAATCTTAAAAAAGTAGTTTCGTCATTGAAAAAAGTAAAATTATATTTTGATAATTTTCACTGTGAAATTATCAAATATAATTTTCACGGATAAATCAGTAATCCACTGAAAAGCATAAAATAAAAACTAGTAAGATGAAGACAACATTAAATACTTCAATTATAATGCTGCACATGTAGTATATTATATTTATTACTATTACTTCATGCTTTTCTCTTTGTATTTGTACAACTATTGTATACAGTAGAACTTCGATTAGTCGATTTTATCGATGTGTCGAAGAAAAATTAAAGTCCCGACTTCTCCCCCTATATATTCCTTATAAAAACCTCTTTATGAGTCGAGATTTTATGTGTCTAATTTTTCGATGTGTCGAGGTTTTTTCGTGGTCCGTGTTAAGTAAATCTAGTGCAATATACCACAAATAAGTCGAAGTTGTTCGATTATTTTGAGCACCGTCGATCTCGAGACATTTTTCACACCTTTATCTGGCTGCGAAGACGATTTCCAATCAACTTTGGTGTGACAGGTGTTAATTCCACAGCCGTGTGTTCAAGCAGCTTTTTGTTTGTGATAAAAATGTGTGATAAAATGCTTTAATTGTTTACTATTTTAATTGCCGTAGTGGTATTGAAAGTAAACAGTAAGAACTACTTTCAATTGATTACATCCTTTTGACCCGGTGTCGCGTGAGAATAACACGCGAAATATATACTATAAAGTTGGTTTTGTTATCGCCCTTTCGTATTGTTACGCCTTTTGTAACTCTATTGTATACGTCAACGGGTAGTCCAAATAATTAGCCGTGAAAAACGTTATTTAACATGCTATAGTTATCATTGTAAAATGTGAATATCAGATTAATGATGGAAAAAACATGAAATAGGTTTCGTTATAGGCTAGTCACGGGTCGAAATTAGTCATGGAATTAAGAGCAATGCATGAGTCGAAGTCCCGATGTGTCGAAGTTTTTACGCAAGTCCCTTCAACTTCGACTTACCGAAGTTCTACTGTATGTTCTATTTGGCGATGAAAATTTATATGGTTTTGCCGAATATAATGAATTGAAAAAAAAAACAAACTGAAATATGGAACTATTACATTGTATATACTGCTGTAGAAATACTCATTTTGATGAATAATGTGAAGAAAAAGCAAACAACAGTTTTTAGTACATTTCTGTAAGATTATGAGTTGTTATCCCACTCTTTTTTGGTCAAAATGCCCTGCTTTTAAAAGCAAAATCCCCCTATCTCAGGATGGCTGGAAATACAGCATGTATATTATCATTGTACACATGAAAATCTGTTGTATAATTCATAAGATGAGATGACAACATGATTATACATTACAGGATCTGACATTATAAAGATTTTCCCTCGGTTCAAATTCAGAGACGAAGGCATATGATTGGTCAGAATCTGAGACTGAATTTATACTGACCAATAAAAATCCTGAGATTTAAGAGAGTTCTAACCTCAGGGCTTTTCTTGCCAAAATTGTGGAGGGGCCTGGTCATTTTGTGAAAAAATGTTGCGGTAAATAGGACAATTGTGAAAAAGTAATTTTTGAACAAATTAAAGGGAAGTTTGCTCTCAAGATTCAAATTGGTCAAAATTGAGTTACTGCACATTTATCCATATCCTATTTGATTAATAACAATCTAGTATCTAAAATCAAAAGTATGATAATTTGTGAAATCTGCAAGGAATTGTGATTTTTTTTCCGTTTTGTGAAAATAAGTGAAATTTTGGATTGTAATGGAGCCTTTTATATGTGCCCATTATAGAAGGTAAAAAAGCCTTGAACCTTGAGGCAAGGACCTACCTATGATGTATCCGAGTTGAGCAACAACTTCACGATCCCACAAATATATTGATTTAAAGGCATCATCTTGTTCTGCCAAATCAGCAAATGCCGAATGCTGTTCTAGGTCACATTCTATGATACTGCCAATCTCTTTCGCACTTTCACTGATCACAAAAAGAAGAAAAACGTTATATTATAATTAATTTCTAAACAAGAATTTTTCAAGCAGAACTTTGAAGGTATATTAAGAAGTATGGATCCTTGTATTTTTCAATTTTTTGTTTTTACTCTAAATGTTTTGTATATTTGAAAAACCCATAAGAAAGAGTTATCCAGCTTATCTGATTCTAACACAACACATACAAAATTATTACGTGATACATGCAGCTGATGGCCTCATAAGACAGTGATTTTGAGTAAAATGCATGTCATTTTGAAACCAGATCTTGAAACTTTCTATGTTATAATTCTCCTATATTCTAACGGGCTTTAGAACATTTACTCTAGGTTGTAATGATAAAGAGCATACAAATTTTTCTTACTTCAATTACGTACAGTTTTCTTGAAATATAAATTCAATATTTATTAAAATTAATAACAAAATGATAAAAGAACACTTTCAGAAGATCGGTGCCTCACAGTATTTAGATGTAGTTTTCTGAAAAAGGAGTAATTGCTTATGGTTTTTTTTCGGGATTTTTTTCTAAAATTACACGGTCAAAATTCCAAAATCTACTGCCTTTTGTTTGAAGATTACATAGCACTTGTAGAAACAAACCGAAACACTTGAGGTCGTAGAGTAAGAAGTTCATAGGGTTCTAAACCACATAGAATTGGTCCAAGCATTGTCACATTTTCAGCTGTCAGGTTAGCTAAGTCATCAAACTTGGTAAATTCCATGTATCTTGAAGCAATGGCACTTAACTGAAATATATATGAAATATAAACATTCATTGGTGATAATCAGACAAAAATATTTGAAGAATATAAAAATCTTAAAATTTTAAAAAATTGTGGCTGATTTCTGCTCACTTATTGTGTCTCAGCCTTGAACTTTTGAGGGTGCAGACACTAAGACATGATATATTTTTGGCAAAATAACAAAATTCTAACAGACAAAGACACAGAATCTTTTTCTGTAAAATTATCATGTTGGCGGGTAGAAATTTTTATATTGGCGCCCTATTTTTGTTGTGTCTTCACCTCAAAATATACAAATTATACAATAATTTGCTGATAATTTGCTAATTTATCTAGTCTTTTTGTTGGTGTGTCAATGGCCTGAAAGTCATAGACACAATAAATTGACCATTTTGAGGCAAAGACAGGACGCCACCACAAAGTTAGGGCACCGATAGGATCTACCCATTGACATGATAATTCTGCAGAAGAACATCTTGTATCTTTGCCTTTCAATATATCTTGTCTTATTGTGCCTTCGCCTTTGACTTTTGAGGGGCAAAGACACAAAATGGCAGAAATCAGCCACCATATTAAAAGCCCATGAGGCAAACATTATACAAAACTTTATGACAAACAGTTTATTCATGCAACAACTTCCTTGTAGCAATATATCTTATAAATGAAATTGTTACTTTATCAACCTTATTCACCTTTATCAATTGTGACAAATTTTGGACAATATTTCAGTTTAAATCAGTCCAGTTTTAAAGAAAATTTTTTAACGAAACGAAACATAAAGGTGACAGACTGGAGAGAACATTGTCATAATATCAAGATAAGATACATGACCAATATGCTATTTCTATATATGATTAGACTGTATTGATACATAAATGTATGATAGACACCTCAACACAATATAACATTAATATCCATTAAATAAATACAGCAACTGTATTTTATTCTGTAATATATTATATACAAAACTAGAACTGCGCGAGTCGGATGTGTCGCCTTGTGAACAATATACTTTAGGAGAAATGGCCAAGACAAAAATGAAGTATGAAAATAAACAAAAGGCAATAACTCAAAAAATAAGAAATGCAGAGCAGCAGTTTTTGTGCACTGCACTTCTTCTTAATAAGATCTATCATCCTATGAAGTTTCAAGTTTATAGCTTTTATAATTTATGAGAAATGGCCTGGACAAAAATAAAGTATGAAAATTAACAAAGGGCAATAACTCAAAAAATAAGAAATGCAGAGTACCAGTTCTTAAGCACTGCACTTCTTCTTAATGAGATCTATCATCCTATGAAGATTCATGTCCATAGCTTTTACACTTTAGAAGAAATGGCCTGGACAAAAATAAAGTATGAAAATTAACAAAGGGCAATAATTCAAAAAACTAGAACTATCACTAAATGTGATTAATACCCCCACAAGTCTGCTTCGGAAATGAGGATGTTACTAGTAACAGAATACCTTGTAAAAGAATTGAAACATAGAGTTATGGTTGTGGGCAATTAAAGATAATTGTGGTTCATGTATGTTGCATTTCCTTTCAATGTGGTTGGCCATTGATGAAGTTTAATTGAAATACTCTGTAATAAGTCCAGAAAGACAAAGAAAAAGAACAAAGGGCAATAACTCTATAAATACTGAAGATAGAGTTATAGTTCTTGCGCATTGCACTTCCTCTTATTGTGCTTGACCATTGTATGAACTTGTTTTAAATTCCAACCAGTACGTTTTAAGTTATGCTCTGGACAAGGAAAAGTATCAAAGGGCAGTAACTCTGTATTTTGTCAAAATGGAGTTATGGCTCTAGTGCACTGCACTTCCTTTGAATGTCCTTGACAACTGTATGAAGTTGTACTGAATTCCAAACAGTAGTTTTCAAGTTATGCTCTGGACAAGGAAAAGTAACAATGGGCAATAACTCTGTAATTAGTCAAGATGGAGTTATGGTTCTTGTGCACTGCACTTTCCCTTATTGTGCTTGACCATTGTATGAAGTTGTTTTGAATTCCAACCAGTAGTTTTTCAAGTCATGCTCTGGACAAGGAAAGGTAACAAAGGGCAGTAACTCTGTAATTAGTCAAGATGGAGTTATGGTTCTTATGCACTGCACTTCCTCTCAATGTGCTTGACCATTGTATGAAGTTATACTGAATTCCAACAATAAGTCTTCAAGTTATGGTCCGGACAAAAGAAAGCAATGGAAAAGTAACAAAGGGCAATAACTCTGTAATTAGTCAAGATGGAGTTATGGTTCTTGTGCACTGCACTTCCCCTTATTGTGCTTGACCATTGTATGAAGTTGTTTTGAATTCCAACCAGTAGTTTTAAAGTCATGCTCTGGACAAGGAAAAGAATCAAAGGGCAGTAACTCTGTAATAAGTCAAAATGGAGTTATGGTTCTTGTGCACTGCACTTCCTCTCAATGTGCTGGACCATTATATGAAGTTATAATGAATTCCGACAATTAGTCTTCAAGTTATGGTCCAGACAAAAGAAAGCAATGGAAAAGTAATAAAGGGCAATAACTCTGTAATTACTTTAGATAGAGTTATGGTTCTTATGCACTGCACTTCCTCTCAATGTGCTTGACCATTGTATGTAGTTAAATTGAATTCCAACCATTAGTCTTCAAGTTATGCTCCGGACAAAAAAAGAAGGCAATTGAAAAGCAACAAAGGGCAATAACTCTGTAATTACTTTAGATAGAGTTATGGTCCTTGTGCACTGCACTTCCCCTTAATGTGTTTGACAATTGTATGAAGTTGTTTTGAATTCCAACCAGTAGTTTTCAAGTTATGCCACGGACAAGGAAAAGTAACAAAGGACAATAACTCTGTAATTAGTCAAGATAGAGTTATGTTTCTTACGCACTGCACTTCCTCTCAATGTGCTTGACCATTGTATGTAGTTATATTGAATTCCAACCATTAGTCTTCAAGTTATGCTCCGGACAAGGAAAATGCAACGGACAAAAAAAAAAGCAATGGAAAAGCAACAAAGGGCAATAACTCTGTAATTACTTTAGATAGAGTTATGGTTCTTGTGCACTGCACTTCCCCTTATTGTGTTTGACAATTGTATGAAGTTGTTTTGAATTCCAACCAGTAGTTTTCAAGTTATGCCCCGGACAAGGAAAAGTAAAAAAGGGCAATAACTCTGTAATTAGTCAAGATAGAGTTATGGTTCTTGTGCACTGCACTTCCTCTCAATGTGCTTGACCATTGTATGTAGTTATATTGAATTCCAACCATTAGTTTTCAAGTTATGCTCCGGACAAGGAAAATGCAACGGACGTCTGGACCGACCGACCGACCGACCAACCGACCGACCACCGGGTGACTCCTATATACCCCCCCAAACTTCGTTTTTGGGGGTATAATAAATGCAGAGTGGTTCTTGTGCACTGCACTTCTTCTTAATGAGATCTATCATCCTATGATGTTTCAAGTCCATAGCTTTTATACTTTAGGAGAAATGGCCCGGACAAAAATAAAGTATGAAAATTAACAAAGGGCAATAACTAAAAAAATTAGAAGTGCAGAGCACCAAGTTCTTGTGCACTGCACTTTTTCTTAATGAGATCTATCATCCTATGAAGATTCATGTCCATAGCTTTTACACTTTAGAAGAAATGGCCTGGACAAAAATAAAGTATGAAAATTAACAAAGGGCAATAATTCAAAAAATAAATGCAGAGTGGTTCTTGTGCACTGCACTTCTTCTTAATGAGATCTATCATCCTATGATGTTTCAAGTCCATAATAGCTTTTATACTTTAGGAGAAATGGCCCGGACAAAAATAAAGTATGAAAATTAACAAAGGGCAATAACTAAAAAAATTAGAAGTGCAGAGCACCAAGTTCTTGTGCACTGCACTTCTTCTTAATGAGATCTATCATCCTATGATGTTTCAAGTCCATAGCTTTTATACTTTAGGAGAAATGGCCCGGACAAAAATAAAGTATGAAAATTATCAAAAGGGCAATAATTCAAAAAATAAATGCAGAGTGGTTCTTGTGCACTGCACTTTGGGTCATTATAAGAAGCATGCATACCAAGTCTGACGTCAATCCGACTCATATTGACTGACTTATGCTCCGGACAAACTTAAGGGGACACCGACAATGCCAACAAAAGTAACCCTTATATGTGGCCTTTTTTTAAGGCGACACAATAAAAAGTAAACCAAGAAAATTCATGTAAAAATATGAATACTATACAAGGAAAATGGAAATGAATCACTAACTTTTCAATTTAAATTTTTGTATGAAGATTTAATAATAAACAGATTAGATATAAACAATTCCACTTATACATCACTTAAACAGTCATAAAAAAGTTGAGCGTATCAAAAAAAGAATATTGAGGAGAAAGGAAGACTAGTGTACAAAGCAGTAGAGAAATGTGCAACAACATAGGTTAGGTGTTATGTGTTCAAGGAGAGCAACACTATTGTGAGCAAGCAAAGCATTAACAATTGAGTAACAAAATATATGATGTGCAACTATAGCATAAAAGGCTAAAATAGACTACATTATGGACTGGAGTATCTACATTCTATAATGAAAGGCAAGCACTAATCAATGATAATTGTAAATTGCCAGGGCTCTCTCTCATCAATAATATGGGATAAATTTGAATTTTTGCCACAATTAACCCCCATAAAATAGTAAACATTTTATCAAATATAAACTGCCTCCCACTTATGAAAAGAAGAATGAAAACATGCAATTCAGTTAAAATAATATTATCATATTTTATGAAGAACAAGAAGCGCCGCAATGCAACAAAACCAGAATTTCAACTACCAAGTCTTGATGTGACAGGAATTAGGAATGAAATATTGCAGTGAAGAAAAAGTGATGCTGTTTTGTTTTTTTTTGGTTGCATGCAGATAGTGATCTATTTAGGGTAAGTAATTTGGTGTCAATAGGTCTCAAGCAAAGCGGAAACAGAATTTCTATTTTTAGCAACCTTGACCTTCATCACTGACACCTGGGTAGCAATCTCCATTAGCATCTGGATATAAGCTACCCACATACAAAGTTTGGTGTCAATAGGGCTTAGCAAACTGAAATAATTACAAGAAAACTAAATTTCTATTTTTAGCAACAGTGACCTTGCCCTTGATCTCAAACATCTAGGTAGCCATCCCAAGCTGCCTGTTGATATAAGCTACCCAGATACAAAGTTTGGTGTCAATAGGCCAAAGCAAACTCAAGTTATTGAGCGGAAACTGAATTTCTATTTTTAGTAACAGTGACCTTGACCTTTATCACAGAGATCTGGGTAGCAATCCCAAGCTGCCGTTTGATATAAGCTACACACACACACCAAGTTTGGCAAAAATAGGCAAAAGCAAACTCAAGTTATTGATTGGAAACTGAATTTCTATTGAAAACCTGGCTGCCTTGTACCTCATATTTGTATGAACATCCACACAGCTTAACCCATTACCCGATATACACGCCAAAAGATACATCAGGGGGTTGCCAGAAGGGGGATGTGCCAAGAAAATTTTGGACTTGTGAGTGGCTAAAAATGACCCCAGATCGATCATAAGGTAACCTGTAACCAACACTGAAAAGCATTTGACTCTATCTCAATCCATTGAGAAGTTGCAGCACTTTGAAATCAATTTTGATGGAAAAAATCAACGCAAAATAGTGATTTTTGGCAATTTTGAGATGTCCCCTTGTTGCCATGGTAACAGGAAATTTAAGCCTTGGCATGTTGTTACAAAGGCAATGGTCCAGTCAACATTTGTGCCAAGTTTGATTAGTATTGAAGCAGTTTTTATAGTTTTATAGCAATTTGAACTTGTAACAGGAGACTTTTCAATGAAAACAGCCATTTTTTCACAAAATGCTCATGAAGTAATGGGTTAATAGTCAATAGTCATTAACCTGCTGGTGCACCAAGTGATAGACCTCTGCCACCTGTATAAAGCCAGGTTACCCTGCAAATCTGTGCAGTCTGACCAGTATACTTTTGGCTGAACAACTTCAAATATTAAATATTTACATCCCGAAATTTATAAAAAGATTAAAGCTCAGAGAAAGCCCATATGAGCCGTGTCATGACAAAACCAACATAATGGGTTTGCAACCAGCATGGATCCAGACCAGCCTGCCCATCCGCGCAGTCTGATCAGGAGCCATGCTGTTCGCTTACCAACTTTTAAAAGTACAGTAAAGAAACTGATAGTGAACAGCATGGATCCTGATCAGACTGCGCGGATGCGCAGGCTGGTCTGGATCCATGCTGGTCGCAAACGCATTATGTTGGTTTTGTCGTGACACTGCTCATTTAAGAAATTCAGCAGATTAAGGATTAAACTCTGTAAGCAACATTATAATGATAGGATTGTATATGTTGACAGGGCTTTTTTTCCTTCTATAACAGTGGCCATTTATAATAGGGCTGCTTCCCAAAAGAAAAATTCTTTAAAATCATGCAGTTTTCCCGCAAAATTGAATTTACATCAAGTTTTTCTTCCCCTTTTGCAAATATACCGTGTAATTTTCCCCCAAAATTAAGGGCAGGGCTGATTCAATCCCAACATGTGAAAAAAAAGCCCTGGTTGAACTTTTATATTTTAATCAATGATAGTACGTCTCAAATAGTTAGACAGTTTGGGTATTTATCTTCTTTTTTTTTAATTTTTTTTTTTTTTTTTTTTTTTTTTTTAAAATAAGCTAATTACTCAAAGATTATAAATGAGAAGGCCCTGACTACAATACCATGTTGTATACCTTTATCACTTTCACATACATTTAACCCTGTAAATAAAATATATACATCTACAACAAAATAAATACAATATATAAAGTAAATAAAATGCCAAGTGACACAATATTTTTTTACACACACAGTTGTGATCCAAGGGCCAGTAACCCTCTCTATTTTCTTTTTTTTCCCCCCAGAATTGCGTCAACATATTGAAATAAAACACCAACTTTACTTTGACAATCTTAATAGCTTTCTCACATTACAGGATACAGAATTTTTGCTGAAGCAGACAATGTCCAAAACTTTTTAGTAAGCATCCTTAATTCCTTTGATATCACTACTAACTCATACATGCCAAAACGTCCCTGAAGTCCGGGAAAATCCAAGAAATAAGTTGTCTGTCCCGGAGGCGTCCTGAAGATGATTAGTCTAACTGATATACATATTACAGCGTTTTTTTTCTCTACTTTGGGAATGGTGCCGTTACCAGACTGATTGGGAAAAAATGTGTTATTTTGACTAAAATTGGGAATTTTTTTAATGCATTTTTTCAGCTACAAATGAGATTAGACATCATGAATAAAGATAGCTAACAGCTTCTATTGTCTAGATAGAACTATTGAGTGGTGATTTATATGAATATGTTGGATTTAAATGATTTTAGAAAAATCACTTTGCCTTGTGGGCATTTTGAACAGCCAATTTGGAAATTTAACATTGGAAATTGGGAATTTTAATGTCTATTTTCTATTGGGAATGGTACCGTTTTAGGGTAGTAGTTATATAAAGAAAAAAAACACTGTATTATATAGGAATTCCTTTGAATAACTTGACTGTTCCAAATTAAGAGCAGCAAAATCAATTTTACAAAATTCCACACAGTAAAGGTTAATATACAATATGGTATTTATACTAATTTACATATTTTATACAGACCTGATGTATGTCCCAATCTTCCTGGCTACCAAAGAATGCAAATAGTTCTAAATCATATGGAACACACTGAAGGTCACGAACATAAAAAGCATTGACTATTTTCCCAAACTCTTCAATTTCATCTTTGGACATTGAACATACATTTTTTCCTTTTGCCTGAAAAAAAGGCAACAAATTATTAGTGTCAAGACTTAGTGTTCTTCCATCAAAAATATGTCTACTTTTTTTTAAAAAATGTTTAAGGGTAGCATTGGCTAGTAATGATTAATAAAATTGTCTGTCAACTTAGGATTGTGGGCTCAAGCCAATATTACTGGATTCACAATTATGATTCCCAGCACCAGTACTGGTTTAGTTTAAAGTGGACACAACAGTTGTTCAAGTAGGTTACAAGATTTCTTTGCACTTGAGCATAAATCAAATGTATAAAAGCTACACATTCCTTTAAAAACTTCTTTAATAGAAATCTGCTTGCAAATTTTAAGTGACACTTCTTTATAAACTGAAAAGTTGCTTCTAAACTTAACCTTTGTAGAGAATATCTTTTAATGGCTCTACAAACAAGAACACTGCATGCGGTGCTTTAACACACATTTGTTAAGGGCAACAACTATTAATAACCAATTTTGACAAAATACTAAGTTAAAAAGGGGCATAACTCCAAAAATATAGCTTTCAAAATTATGCCCATTTTCTAACAACTGCACCTTGTTATGATAAGCAAGTATCCCAAGTTTCATGTTGAAAACTTTTAAAAATTTAAATAAATTGACTACAGCTATTGCCAACATTGACAAAGACAACCAGAGATCATAATAGATTGACTTTTTCTTTGAAACAGACCAACTTAAAATACAGCACTAAACTAGAAATGTGTCAATAGGACACGGATGCCCCCACACGCCACTGTTCTGTCAATCTTATGACTCTAGGTCAAATATTTTTTGGACTACATGTGCCACAAGTTGAAAACTAAAAATCAACAAAGGGCCATAATTCTCTTAAATTTGGTCGCAGCAAAAATTCCTTCCTTTACTACCATCTACACATTAAGGTTGTTAATCCCTGGAAGTTTAAGCAAAATCTGCCATCCGGTTTAAGAGGAGTTGCGTTCACAAAATTTCTACATAGTATATATAGTGAAAAAATCAACAAAGGGCCATAATTCTGTTAAATTTGGTCGCAGCAAAAATTCCTTCTTTTACTACCATCTACACATTAAGGTTGTTCATCCCTGTAAGTTTAAGCAAAATCTGCCATCCGGTTTAAGAGGAGTTGCGTTCACAAAATTTCTACATGGTATATAGTGAAAAAATCAACAAAGGGCCATAATTCTGTTAAATTTGGTCGCAGCAAAAATTCCTTCCTTTACTACCATCTACACATTAAGGTTGTTCATCCCTGTAAGTTTAAGCAAAATCTGCCATCCTGTTTAAGAGGAGTTGCATTCACAAAATTTCTACATAGTATATAGTGAAAATATCAACAAAGGGCCATAATTGTGTTAAATTTGGTCGCAGCAAAAATTCCTTCCTTAACTACCATTTACACATTAAGGTTGTTCATCCCTGTAAGTTTAAGCAAAATCTGCCATCCTGTTTGAGATGGTTCACAAGAGTTGCGTTCACAAGATTTCGAGACGTACGGACGGACAGACACACGGACGGACGGGCAAGTGCAACGCTATATGCTCCCACATTGTGGGGGCATAAAAATTTACTCTACGACAAAATCAAAATACATAATGAGACTGCGTTCTTCAATTGTATCTAATTAAAGATTTAAATTTTTTTTACCTTTAATGAGTCAGTATATATATATATCTATATATACACTTATTTCACATAATTTCATTATAAATCAAAGCTCATACATATGCTCATTTTACCCATTTTCAAAAATTTGAGGTCTGTTTATAAGGGATGTACCAAATTTTACAAAAAAGTAGTCAATCAATATAAATACCTTTACTGCCTTTAAATACAACCTTTTATGTTGCCAGCGATGCATGTTACTTATATTACCAATGATTTCTAAGCAGTCAAGGAATTCATTGTCATCCATAATGTCTATTTCCTTCGCAGAAGCTGTTCTGAACAGTATCGGATTCGGGCGTATCTGACGACATGTCCAATTGACTGGAATATGAACAAGATACGTCTCCAGTTGATATTTCATACAAAGTTAATGAAATGAAAATGACACAAAATATCACTATAAAAAGCTGTTATGCTATCTATTAAGAGTTTAACACAAGGAGGAATGGTATGAATTATGATATTCCAAAATCAGTCGTCACAACTTAAGGTAATAGACCTAGCTGTAACATAAACAAAATGTTACAAAAAAAAAGAAAGAGGAAGCCTTTGCATACATTCAAATTGTGATATAAACTTTGTGACACTAACTGTATTATCAAGATTAACAAAATCAATACTTTTTATGTTGTTCTCTTTTGAAATTTTGTGAGGTCACAAAATTAAAATTTCAAGTTGAGGTTTACCATTTATTTATTTTCCAATACAATATATATCATTTTTGATATTTTCTTTAAATATTATTCAGCAGTAAGTGTGAAAAATTTAATTGACAAACATCTATAACTTTTTGCATAACCGCACATGTAAAGTTGACAATTTGGTTAAGAGTATATTTATAATAATGTGATAAGTAACATTAAAAAAAATCACCACAAAAATGGACCTACATGCAGCTCTCTTGCTCCTATTAGATTCAACATTAGCAAAGAAAGCATCTTTTACTGTGAGCATAAGATTAAAGTTCTGTTCCTTTAGGTTGTCCAGGTCAGCAGTATCCAGCCATTTCTCACAGCATTTCTGAAGGCTAATCTCCTCGTCTGTCTCCGGAATCAAATCTCTCATCAGTTCTGACTGCATCTCAGCTATCACTGACTGTAATATGAAAATTATTATAAATAGATAGCATTAGAGCTTGTCTTAAGACAGTGTGTTTGACTCTTCTTGGTGCTTGACTTTAAGAAAAGGGGCATAACTCTGCTCATCATGTTACATAGATAACCACAGAGGACAAGTGTGTGAAGTTTCAACCTATTGCCTTCAGTAGTTCGACTATTCCCAGAGCTTGACATTAAGAAAATAGGCATAACTCTGACCATCATGTAACATACTCATAGTGAACAAGTGTGTGAAGTATTCCCAGAGCTTGACATTAAGAAAATAGGCATAGCTCTGACCATCCTGTAACATACTCATAGTGAACAAGTGTGTGAAGTATTCCCAGAGCTTGACATTAAGAAAATAGGCATAGCTCTGACCATCATGTAACATACTCATAGTGAACAAGTGTTTGAACTATTCCCAGAGCTTGACATTAAGAAAATGGGCATAACTCTACCCATCCTGTTACATACATATAGTGAACAAGTGTGTGAAGTTTTCAGTAGTTTGACTATTCCCAGAGCTTGACATTAAGAAAATGGGCATAACTCTACCCACCCTGTTACATACTCATAGTGGACAAGTGTGTGAAGTATTCTCAGAGCTTGACATTAAGAAAATAGGCATAACACTGACCATCATGTAACATACTCATAGAAGGCATGTGTGTGAAGTTAAACAACCTATTGCCTTCAGTAGTTTTGGAGATACAAACTTACCAAAAGTGTGACGGCAACGCCAATCCCTATTCTTCAATTAATCAACCTCAAAATGTCCTAAACCTACCTCAATGCTGATTTTATAGATAACAACTTTGAAGTACTATAACATACATGTATGTTAGACATTCACTTTCATAAAAGAGAATCAATTCATTAATGCAGTCAATTACTTTTTGAACAACATTTTTTTTTAAATAAAATCTTTATGTAAAGCACATTAATTAGTTAATCATAGATATAAAGCACAATGATATATCAACTTCTGATTTCATTAATTGGCAATTCATAAATCACTTGAAATAGTTTTGATTTCTTACATTGACACCAGAGTTCTATTATTACCACTCATTATTTACCTTGTTCAGTTCTTGTTGTAATGTCCTTGGTAAAACTTTAATAGCACTACCAAGTAGTGATAAAGTGTTGGCATCATAATCAGAACCAGAACTGAAACAATATTCAAAAACATTTTTTTTTGTCTTGAAATTAAAACAAGGGCAAAATTACGCAATATACGCCCCCAAATGGTCCCAATACACATTTTCATATTTTTATCTAAACTTTGACCCTATGTGTGACCTTGATCTTGACCACAGGGACCTAAATTTGGTGCACGACACTCTGCCTCACAATAGTGAACATTTGTGCCAAGTTATATTAAAATCCCTCAATGCATGTAGAAGTTTTGCTCCGGACAAACGTTTTTCAATGACTGTTAGTGTGACCTTGACCTTTGACCTTAAGCGGCCTAGTGCATGCTTGGGACATGGCTTCTCATAGTTGTGAACATTTCTATAAAGGTTCATTAAAATTCCTCCATTGGTGAAGAAGGTAGGCTCCTGCCAAAAATTTGAAGCTGCCCGCCATAGGGGAAACTTATAATAATACGACCTTTTTTTCAAATGGGCTTATAGAAAGGGTTAACCTTAAGAGAAAATGCAGTTTAGTTGAAAATAAATTAAATTTCTATAAAACATGTTTAACAGCCATTAGGTAATATCTTAATTATATTTCAATTAAAGTTATTTTTTCCTTAATCTGTAAGTTGAGGTACAAAAATAAATAAATAGTTCAAACTGAAATCTGTTAACTAAAAGCATTTTTCAATTGCTTTTTGAGGACTATTTTGTATATGAGTGGAAAACTGATTGTCTCTCTAATTTTAAATAAAAAAGGTTTAAATTTCTTAGAGAATAAGCAATAATTCAAGGATATTTTAAAAATCAAGCATGTTTGAAGGGAACAACCTTGATTCAAGCGATTTTTTAGATTGTAAAAAAAAGATCACCCTTTTATAAGACTAGTAAAACCCGTATTATAAATACTACATTTTAAAATAGAAGTAAGTTCTTAAAATCCACATCAGTTCTATATTACATAGATATTTCTCATACTTATATGAGTCGTTTAAACTGAGCATATGAAATAAAATTTTGGCTTTTTATGATAAATTGCTTTTTCTTCAAAACTTTATAAAAGACAATTCACCTTCCAATGACTTTCAACAAAGCTTCAGAAAGAGCCTTCCTCAGATTCTGGTCCATGCATATATCTTTAAAGAACTGAATATGTGTTTTTAACACTTGTGCTGGCACAAGGTCAAGCTGGGTCTTGGACATCTGTGATATAAGGTTTGGTCCAAGTTCTTCAAAATCTGTGTTAGTTATTGTATGGCTTCCCAAACCCTGAAAGTTATGGATAAACACTAAAAAAACAATAAGTTAAAGGAACTGTTATTTCCAAGTTTTAATGTGTAATATTTAAACTTATATGAAAGTTAATCATCATAGGCTTCATTGTCTAGTCAAAGTCTATTGTCCAAGTCTAGTCCAAGTCATTGTCTGCTTTCTATGAGACTACAAAGTCAAACCTACTCCACTTTATATGTTTACACACCAGTACCCTTTTTCCACACCTGTTCCCAAAATGGTCAGAATAGAAGAAAAAATACATACTTGACAATATTTGTGACAACTCAATCTTGGAACAGCTTGATTACACAAACATGTTATGAATGATTAACTAATATCAAGTTTTCTTTTGAAATACTGCATAATTCCACACAGGTATAGATATAGAAATACCCATAATTTAATATAGAAATGTACAACAATTAAATATAATTATTTCCCAATATTGTTTGCTAGAATATTTGACATTAACTAGGCCATCCTTAAAAAATTGTTTGTTTGTAGTGCTCCGATCCTAAGTTCAAGAGGTGGGTAGGTAGGTAGGGGATTTTTTTTTTTTTTTTTTTTGAAACTGTTACAAAATTGGAGCGTACTGAGTATAGCAATACACAGTATAAAGTCTCCCATGATATACTGTGCATTGTATTTAGACAAATTAAAATATGTAGGCAAATGTATTTCTGTTGATATTTTCTTTGTTTATTATTTCAAAAATAATAACAGACATACAATGTAACACTTTTGTTGTTGTTTATTTTACATTTATTTCATCTTTAAACAAAATAATTGAAATTGTTCTTTATTTACTGAAATTAACAATGTCTGGAAAAAGGTGACAATACCTGTAATAAAACAAGTGGTCTGAGAAAAATATGTACAATATGATTACTTGTCAGATCTAGCCCTTTGAGAAAATAGAACAGAATTAGTCTCAATACCTATATTTCAGTGTTATTTGAAAATGCAATTTACACTGCAGGTATAGGTGTTTTGTTTGTAAAATCAATGATTACCACCTGCTTTGATGACCACCTAAGATTTCATTTACTGGTCAGATTCTAAATGCACAAAGAAGGGAGGGGTGTAGCAAATCCATTTCTCAGTACTATTGAATAAAAGGAATTATCCTGCAAATAATATTAATCTGGTTAGAATACAAATATTTGAAATTAAATGACTTGCAGCAGAACTTTTTAGCTTTGATTTTTTTGTTATTGTTTGTTTGTTTTTTCTTTTTTGTTTGTTTGTTTTTTGTTAAATTTTAGGGGTACACTTGAAAATTTAGATTACCTTGCTACCAACAAACCATACTGTATTAACCCAGTTAATTAACTCCATTCACTAGCCAGCATAATAATAGATCATTATGTAAGTTACACCTGTCACACTGTCGTGTGTACTTACCATATATGGCAGTGTAGCATGTAGAAAAATCTACGTCACCTGCTGTATACATGTATAGTGTGTAATCAACAGGTCCTGGAGCCTGGAGTTTGTTTTGAAAGTTGGATTAAAGAGAGCAACAATTTATAAACCCATTTGGGTGTTTAAAAGGGAATATAGTACGGACAATTACAAAGGAGAAAAAAGGAAAAAAAACGAAAGAAAAAAATAAACAGTGCATGATTTGTAAAATTGTTTGCATCAAAGATTAAAAAATACGGCTATTAAATTAAAATTTAGGAAAAGGTAAAATTAATGAATAATTATCATTCTTATAAAACAAGAGGGCCATGATGGCCCTGGGGTCGCTCACCTGAACATAGGCCCCCAGGGCCGGGCCAGTTTAAACCAAAGGGCATTTATTTCAACAAACTTGGAAGACACCCATTAGAAGATATTTCATGATGTTAAGTTTTTACTATACACAAATAATGAATAACAATGACTTTTGCCCCCCCCCCTCTCCCTGGCAGGGCCAATTTTGACCCAAGGGCTTTTATTTGAACAAACTTGGTAAACATCCATTAGAACATGTTTCATGCTAAATATCTTAGCTCTAGCTCTTTTGGTTCTTTAATAGAAGATTTTTAACTTTTTACTCTATGTATATAGGGAAAATCAATAACCCCTGGGACAGGGCCAATTTTGACCCCAGGGCTTTTATTTGAACAAATTTGGTAGACACCCATTAGAACATGTTTCATGCTAAATATCTTAGGTCTAGCTCTTTGGGTTCTTTAAAAGAATTTTTTTAAAGTTTTTACTATATGCATATAGGGAAAATCAATGACCCCCTGGGGCGGGGCCAATTTTGACCCCAGGGCTTTTATTTGAACAAACTTGGTAGACACTGATAAGAAGATGTTTCATGCTTAATATCTTAGCTCTAGCTCTTTGGGTTCTTTAAGAGAAGATTTTTTTAAGTTTTTACTATATGCATATAGGGAAAATCAATAACCCCTGGGACAGGGCCAATTTTGACCCCAGGGCTTTTATTTGAACAAACTTGGTAGACATCCATTAGAACATGTTTTACGCCAAATATCTAAGCTCTAGCTCTTTGGGTTTTTTAGAAGAAGATTTTTTTAAGTTTTTACTATATGCATATAGGGAAAATCAAAGACCCCCTGGGACGGGGCCAATTTTGACCCCAGGGCTTTTATTTGAACAATCTTGGTAGACACTTACAGTGTTCAATCTAGAACAAATTCCCAGGGGGCCCTTCGGGCCCATAAACTTTTCAAAAGGGGGTCATTTGAGAAAAAAGGGGGCCCGCACTTAAAAGAACATCAAATTAAAATAAGGTATTGTATCTTTTAAGTTACTTGTTCACGTACCATATATAGACTAAAAACGGTTGCAAAATTCCAAAACAATCAACTCACTAAAAAAATGACATTATTTTGACCATTTTTGAGAGTTCTGTTAGCGTTGATACAGGCTCAATTTTAAGAACTGATTGGTAAAGAAACGATGACATAATGTTCAAAGAAACATATTAATCTTATTTTAATGTTACCATGGATATTTGATAATAATGTTCAGTTTTTTAATCAGCGCCCGATACAAAATGTATATAAAAGAAAATCATATTTCCCAATTAGCTTTGTTGATGAAGACTATAAACTTACAATAGTCGCTAAAAACATTTACCCTTCTCAATATATCCAAACGAAAAACTAAGTGTCAACAGGTGCTAAGACAATGTATATTGACATACCGGTACCTTTGATCTTTTGTCAGGGCAGCAGTTCTTACGTCACGTGTATTGATTAATGATATGCACAATGTTTTAGCGCCGACCAGCCAAAGACCAATCAAAGTTTATTTACTCAATTGTCAGACACCCCCTAGCCAATCGTGTTTGATTAGCTCCATCTTTAAGACTTTTTAATTGGATGAAGGCGTGTTCGTAATAATTTATGCACACTTCTCTATAACTATCTCGCACTTTACACAAATATATAGTTTTTTTTCCACCGGAAAGTTATGACATATTTATTTGTTTTGACCGTGAAAAAACTATAACTACGCGCACGTATTGGATTATCTGTGACGATTTGTTTTGTTTATATAAACTGTGACTCAAAAGTAAGTAATAGTTACGGTACGAAGAAAAAGTCAAGATAGTATTTACAGACCCCGGCCGAGGGAGCGTAGCGAAGGTTACCAAGTGCGGTAACTATCTTACCAACATGCTCCTGTTTTTCTATACAAACTTCAGTTTTGAATTCAGTATTTATTAATATTATCACGGATGTAATATAAATCTGTGATATTATTCACAAGAAACTTTTTTTATGTACTTAAATTCAGGTTTAAGAAAGCATTCTAATGTCATTTAGGGCATTTTCTATGAGTGCGCCCATCGGGCCCACAGTTGAATTTTTTTGCGCCGGCGGTCTTTTCAGGGGGTCAATGGCGCAATGGCGCGCTCTAGATTGAACACTGACTTATTAGAAGATGTTTTATGCTTAATATCTTAGGTCTAGCTCTTTGGGTTCTTTAAAAGAAGATTTTTTAAAGTTTTTACTATATGCATATAGGAAAAATCAATGACCCCCTGGGGCGGAGCCAATTTTGACCCCAGGGCTTTTATTTGAACAATCTTGGTAGACACTTATTAGAAGATGTTTCATGCTTAATATCTTAGGTCTAGCTCTTTTGGTTCTTTAAAAGACGATTTTTTTAAGTTTTTACTATATGCATATAGGGAAAATCAATTACCCCCTGGGGCGGGGCCAATTTTGACCCCAGGGCTTTTATTTGAACAAACTTGGTAGACATCCATTAGAACATGTTTCATGCCAAATATCTAAGCTCTAGCTCTTTGGGTTTTTTAGAAGAAGATTTTTTTAAGTTTTTACTATATGCATATAAGGAAAATCAATGACCCCCTGGGGCGGGGCCAATTTTGACCCCAGGGCTTTTATTTGAACAATCTTGGTAGACACTCATTAGAAGATGTTTCATGCTTAATATCTTAGGTCTAGCTCTTTGGGTTCTTTAAAAGAAGATTTTTTTAAGTTTTTACTATATGCATATAGGGAAAATCAATGACCCCCTGGGGCGGGGCCAATTTTGACCCCAGGGCTTTTATTTGAACAAACTTGGTAGACATCCATTAGAACATGTTTAATGCCAAATATCTAAGCTCTAGCTCTTTGGGTTTTTTAGAAGAAGATTTTTTTAAGTTTTTACTATATGCATATAAGGAAAATCAATGACCCCCTGGGGCGGGGCCAATTTTGACCCCAGGGCTTTTATTTGAACAATCTTGGTAGACACTCATTAGAAGATGTTTCATGCTTAATATCTTAGGTCTAGCTCTTTGGGTTCTTTAAAAGAAGATTTTTTAAAGTTTTTACTATATGCATATAGGGAAAATCAATGACCCCCTGGGGCGGGGCCAATTTTGACCCCAGGGCTTTTATTTGAACAATCTTGGTAGACACTCACTAGAAGATGTTTCATACCAAATATCTAAGCTCTAGCTCTTTGGGTTTTCTAGAAGAAGATGTTTAAAGTTTTTTCTTTTGGTTGCCATGGCAACCAGAGTTCTGCATGGAATGGAATTCTTTGAACAACTTTGTTAAGGCTTCACACAAGGAACATCCCTGTGAAGTTTCATTATGATCTGCCTTATGGTTTCAGAGGAGATGTCGTTTGAAAAGTGTGAACGGACAACGGACGACGTACGACGGACACCGGACGACGGACGAAGAGTGATCCTAATAGCTCACCCTGAGCATATGCTCAGGTGAGCTAAAAACCCAGGTATACTGTATTTAACTTATTTAAAAGTATCGGGAAAAGACCCATAAATTTCCAGCGATTTTCCCGCGAAAATTTTATCAATTAACTTGTTTTTTCAACAAGTTTTAGTGTAACCTCATTTTTTGACAATCATGAATGGCAAAATGATTTAAATTAATTTATGTCAACAATAAAGTTCTTCTCGTATTATTTTGTGTAAAAATATATGTATGCAGTGGTGGCCTATGGTTACGGAGGGTAATCCATTTTAACATTCATTAATGTACATGTATGTATATTATCTTTGAAGCAAGGTTGCATTTTTTTTTCACTTTTATACCAAAAAAAAAAATCAAATTGTATTCAAGTTAGATTTGTCAACTCATGTAAAAAAAACTTTCATGAGGGTACCATTTCTGTCCATTTTCACATAACAAAGTTGCAATCCTTTTTTTACTTTTATACTAAAAATAAATCGAATTTTAGTCTGGTTTAATATGTCCAGACGAAAACTTTATATTTGTAAAAATACCTTGAAGAGGGCATCATTTCCATAAACTGTACCATGTACGTATATATATGCAGCATTTAGTGGAATGAATAGGAAAATCGAGTACAGCTAAATTCACACAGTGTGTAAGAGATTCATCCGATCGGCAATTATTTTAGCTAATATCTTCAAAACGGGATCGACTTTTATAGATATAATGTTAAATAATTAACAAAAGATTTATTCATGCACATGTTTGGCTTGGAAACTGAGAATTTGTATGCCCTTCGCGAATTTTAAGGTTTCTGGCGAATGTGAAATCGCCGATGTTAGGGGTCAAAGTTTGGCAAAATATCCATGAAAAGCGTGCGTTTATTTTGGTTTTGGAATAGAATTATTTTACTCTTCTAGTTCTCAGTTCAAAATTTGTCTGAAAAGTTATTGGAGAAAGTTCTTTTTAACAGAATGGGCACATAATGATCTCAAAAAAAAAAAAAAAAATCCTCGAAGGTATAAAAAAATTTTAGAGTCCGGGCCATTTTCATGGGTCGGTCGGAGCACTACAAACAAGCAATTATCATAGTATTGCAAGCAATCCATAAGTCCCCTACCGGTAAGAGCCCAAGCAACATTCTGAAGGGCCATTGGCCATTCACTTATGTTCCTATTTTAAGTAAATTTGTTGAAAAAGTTCTTTAAAAGTAATCACAGGAAACAGTTTTTATGAACAGACAGACGGACTGAAGGGCACTCTAAAGTTATTTTTTAAACATCCCTGTTATCAAAATATAACATTTTTTTAAATCCTATCATGATTGAAGAAGTTGGAGTAAAAATTACCAATTTCTCAAGTTCAAAAGGGGCATAATTCTGGAAATAGTCTTGCTAGAGTATTGAACACTCACAAATGTTGAGTGATAATAAGAAACATTTATATGAAGTTTGAAGTAGATACATTCAGAAAAAGAAGTTATTAAAAAAAAACAATGTTTTTTTCATGAAAATTTTAAGTTCAAGGGAGGTAATTCTGATAAATTTTGTGCTAGAGTTGTAAACCTGGTCACATATGATATGGTTGATGACAAGCAACTTATATTTAAAGTTTGAAGAAAATACCTTAAGAAATAAAGAACTTATAGTGAAAAAAATTAAAAAATAGAATCAGAAATCTTGAAATTCAGACTATTTGTTGCCATAGCAACCAGAATTTTCAACATAGGAAGATAAGAAAAGGATGTGCATAATTTCCATACTGCCATCTACCCATATGTCAAATTTCAAAAAAATATTTTCAGTACTTTTTGTGTTATCACTGGATCCAGGTTATGTGTAAAATTTGCCATATTTTCAGTCTATTTGTTGCCATAGCAACCAGAATTTTCAACATAGGAAGAAAAGAAAAAAACGTGCATAATCTCCATACTGCCATCTATCCATATATCAAGTTTCATAAAAATATTTTCAGTACTTTTTGCGTTATCGCGGGATCCAGGTTATGTGTAAAATTTGCCATATTTTCAGTCTATTTGTTGCCATAGCAACCAGAATTTTCAACATAGGAAGAAAAGAAAAAGACTTGCATAATCTCCATACTGCCATCTATCCATATACCAAGTTTCATTAAAATATTTTAAGTACTTTTTGCGTTATTGCGGATCCAGTTTTGTGGACGGACGGACTGACGGACGGACGGAGGGTAAACCTAAAGTCCCCTCCGGTAAACCGGTAGGGGACTAACAAACAATTTTTTATGGATGGCCCTAGACATGTTTGAGAAACCATATGATTCACAGATGAATCTCACACTTAAGGATACAAAAAAAAAAATCTCTTGCATGCATATATTATTATCTATATAGAGTATAATCAAGGATCATATAATAAAGCAATTTTTCTGGATTGTACCTTGCATTTTAAACAAGCCTGCAGCACATTGTTCCTCCTTATAGGATTCAAACATCTGAATGCATCACAATAGCCGATCTTCATACACACAGCTGAGCACACTTCCTTGTCCATATTCTCATACTCTGATGTACTATAATATAGTAAGCAATATTTCAATAATCACTGTAACATTTTATGAATAAAAAACAAGAGCACCGCTAGGCGGAGCATTATATGCCCGAAAGTGTTTTTTTTTTTTAGTAAAGATGAAGCATTTGTAAGACATGGGACTAAAATAAAGTATTACCTCCTTCAAATAACAATCCTCCTTTGCAGTTTCAATATTGTGGTCCAAATGGAACTTTTAAGTTATGTCCCAGAAACTGTTTTCAATTCTAAGGTAAAAGTGACCTTGACCTTTGACCTTGTGACCCCAAAATCATGAGGGGTCTTTAACCCAATATGGACAATCATACTTTGAAGTTTAAACATAGTAGGCCAAATGATACTTAAGTTATATTCCGAAAACTGTTTTCAGTTTTAAGGTAATAGTGGCCTTGACCTTGTGACCCCAAAATCAATAGGGTCTTCTACCCAATATGGACAATCATCCTATGAAGTTTGAATATTGTGGGCTAAATGGAACTAAAGTTATGCTCAAGAAACTGTTTTCAATTTCTAAGTAATAGTGACCTTGACCTTTGACCTTGTGACCCCAAAATCAATAGGGGTCTTCTACCAATATGGACAATAATCCTATGAAGTTTGAACACTGTGGGCCAAATAGAACTTAAGTTATGCTCCGGAAAACTGTTTTCAGTTCTAAGGTAATAGTGACCTTGACCTTTGACCTTGTGAACCCAAAATCAAATAGGGGTCTTCTACCCAATATCGTCAATCATCCTATTGAAGTTTGAACTACTGTGTGCCAAATGGAACTTAAGTTATGCTCCGGAAAACTGTTTTCAGTTTTAAGGTCATAGTGACCTTGACCTTTGACCTGTGACCTAAAATCTAAAGGGGTCTTCTTCCCAAATATGGACAATCATCCTATGAAGTTTGAACACTGTAGGACAAATGGAACTTAAGTTATGCTCCGGAAACTGTTTTCAGTTTTAAGGTCATAGTGACCTTGACCTTTGACCTTGTGGACCCCAAAAATCAATAGGGGTCTTCTTACCAAATATGGACAATCATCCTATGATGTTTGAACACTGTGGGCCAAAATGGAACTTAAAAGTTATGCTCCGGAAACTGTTTTCAGTTTTAAAGGTCATAGTGACCTTGACCTTTGACCTTATGACCCCAAAATCAATAGGGGTCTTCTACCCCATATGGACAATCATCCTATGAAGTTTGAATATTGTGGGCCAAATGGAACTTAAGTTATGCTCCGGAAACCAAATTGCTAAACGTTTTCAGTTTTAAGGGGTCATAGTGACCTTGACCTTTGACCTTATGACCCCAAAATCAATAGAGGTCTTCTACTCAATATGGACAATCATCCTATGAAGTTTGAATATTGTGGGCCAAATGGAACTTAAGTTATGCTCCGGAAACCAAATTGCTAACGGACGGACGGACGGACGGACGCCAGGGGGTATAACATAATATGTCGAAATTCTTTCGGGCATATAAAAAGGAAAAATAATGTATTACTCAAAAGCTTTATCAAAACCTGAAGTTACATAAAAATGTGATTTCCGCAGTGAACAAATCAGGGTAGAATCACAGATGTCCTGTATAACAATGAAAATGATTGGTCAAAAAAGAATGCTTTCTAGAAGAACTTGAAGAACTTGAAGGCAGATTATGTTTTCAAAAATTAACTGTGTGACTTAAAATACAGTCAAAGTTAAAAACAGACTTACTTCAAGTTTAACAAACACTGGCAGCCAAGACTTTGCACCTCAACATTAGTCAAGGTAGACATTGGGTCAGCAGCATTTCGTACTTCCAGGCTTGTCTGTATAAGATACTTGCTTATAGCTTCCAACTGAAATGTACGAATTATATATTCATTACAATTTAGTCATGCTCAATACTTAAAACTGTTTAAAAAACTGTGCACTTTAGGGATGTGTGCCCATTCTGTGAAGTCCAATGACCTTGTACATGTATTTTTAAATGTATATCTTCACAATGCAGGAGCATAACATTATTTACACCAATCAATGGCAGTCTCTGAGATGACAATTTTCAAACTGCCATCTAAGCAACTATAATTTTTGTTCAAACTTCATAATTTTAACAAGAGATGCTTGTAAACCATGCAATTCCCTCTAAAATTACACAGATGATAACTGTGTAACATGGGCGTCTCTTAACTAACCTATTACCTAGTGATAAGCATAATAAGCCATTTGCATAAGCCAGCTGTACATCTGTATAGTCTGACCAGGCTCTAATAATGAAATCCCTTCAACTTTGAATGGACTGGTCCAAGTTCAAAGAAAATCTAAAACACAATTTCAGCAGTCCAATGTTTAAAATTGTCAGGTCCAGATCAAGCTTCCCACCAATTAGTACGACTGTAGACCAGTGGTTCCTCAAGTTATCAAATGGACAAACTATTTATGATCAAAGTCTCCCTGGCCTCAAAATCTAAAGGGGTTATCTGCTAGTCATGACCAACATCTATGCCAAATCTAAGAATGGTAAGTCAAAGCATAGTCAAACAGGATCTGTACAATGGACTGACCAAGGGGCATGAAAGGTAGTATGTTATAATCTCCACTTCTTTGTGCCTTCCATTTATCTCATTTCTTTGATACAATTAAGAATTTAGAATCATGGACATTTAATCAGTTTGATATATACTCTTAAGAACATACTGATTTTCTTGGCCAATTAGAGTAAGCACACATTGCTACAGCAAATGTCATTCCCTGGGTATCCTCACTATGGGCCTCACCAATCTTCTTGATATGTGATGACAAAAGCCCCGTCACAAGTGATTTCATTTCCCTACAAAATCAAAACTTACATTTTGTTCTCTTCTTGTGAAACAAGTTGATAACATTTTTTAAGATAAACTTCTAATTCTTAATTACATCAGAAGTTATATGGCAATCAGATTATGATTTATTAACATTTTCAAACTACATCATTTTATCTACAGCCTTTAGTTGTTACCATCAAAGCCCTGAAATAATTGCTCTCAACTGTTAGTCTGCTAGCGAGAAATGAATCTACCAATGCGACCAAAAAAGACCACGCTCAGCTGGAAAAAATGTGCCGTGTGATCATGGTAAATACTGTTTCTGCTATTCAGGCAATACTTCTCATGAAAAGTTCCTTTAAAATGTTAGGGGGTAATTTTTCAGCTTGTAAAATTGACAAATCTATTTAAGATACTTGGTACCATAAAGATTAAAGAAAGACTGACACAGGTTATATCATAATTAATTTTATCCTTTCTTTGTCCTAAACACTGTTATGTGTAACCTTCAGTGCTCAAATCTCACAAAATGCAAGTTAAAATTCAAAAATAAGTTTTTTCTAAATATAACTTCTGCAAGTGTAAAAAATCTAAATATGTAATGTTAGTAATTTTAAAAAAAAAATACTGTGAAAAAGTAGAGAGGAGTTATTTTTTCATAAGTCATAAATAAGCTCATGCATACCAGACTTCTATCTGATAAAAAGGCCTATATTCATCTAAGTTTACATAAAAAAATGATGACAAAAAAAACTTATGCTTAAGAAATAACATCGGCCTGAGAGGTGTATATCGGCTATTTAACACCAGTTTGGAGTTTTGATACATAGGAATTGACCACGAAGGCCATAGGCCAGTGTTTATTGGCAGTTTAACACCGGTTTTTGCCTTCTTTGTCTAGTGACAAAATCACGTGGAGTGATAGAATAATACTTATACTGGTACTCCAGCAGTCTGAAAAAGTACCAAGAGTAAACTTAGAAATTAACATAAAAGAAAACTAGCAAAAAGCAGGGGCACTTTTAATAAACAAGTAAAACTATTATAGGCATTGAAAATTATAGAAAAAAATAAGATAATAATAATTAAAGTTTTTACTGTATATCTTCCAATGTGAAACCACTTGCTTGTTTTTTCTTCACAACTTGTTTCACCACCCATTTTTTCTGAAGAACAAAAAGAAAAAAATCTGAAGAACAAAAAGTGAAAAAAGATAAATATGGCACAAAATTAAATATCTGAATGAATGATTAAAAAGAAATACTCTTTTTTTTTGCATTAAAAAGTATAAAGTTCTTATGTAAAGGGTTTCTAATGCTCCTCAATGCACAAAGGCAAAAAACTCAATTCACACAAATAAACCTTTAAATTTGTGTGTAACCCTAATCGTCTTTTGTATATGCTCATGATGCAGTATAGACTAACAGCTTGAATTACAATGCTTGACTTGACAAGAAACACACACCAGGATCCAAGGTTGTTTATTAAGAATGTTCCAAGCTCAAACTCAAATCTTGGGTATTTGATTGGTCAGAAACCTGTACATAAAGTTCATTGACCAATGAAGTCCTGAGATTTGATTTAGAGCTGACATAAATGTTAAGGCCAATAAAGAGTTGAAAATACATTATTGAAAGTATATAGTTAAATCTACATAGGTAATATACAGGTGTTCTAAATAAAATTATATGAACCCACACCTGCCAGTACTAGAGCCTTGAATAGAATTTTTTTTATTCCAAGTTAATAATTGTGAGGAATCATAATAAAAATACTGAGCAATTGAGAAAATCATTATAATAAAGCCTGGCCATACTTTACTCAAGCCAAACTTTTAACTAGTAAAATAGGTTTTTTATTATTGCCCCTTTCACTTTAAGAGAAAATTAACATACTATACCTGTGCATTAGTAAATCCCAAACTGTCTTGTGTTTTGTTAATGCCAAGAGCTTCAATAATATTGTCGGACTGTGAGAGAGAAGTCTTTAAATCTTTCAGAGAAATCTCCTTCATAATTTCCTTTGAATCAATCAAATTTGAAAGTTTTCCATCATCTATCATCTGAAAAAGCGAAGTACAACAATAGCTAGGCTATATTTCATCATAATAGCCTGCTGGAACCTAAAGTGGTTAGCTGTTGCCACAAGGATAGACCAGGCTCTTTCTACAGTACTGATAATATTGTAACCATGATAAAAACCTATAAAATGTTTCACTGCATATATTAAACCTTTATATACATTTAGTAAAATATAACAAGAATAAGCAGAATACCTAGAACAGACTATCATCCAACAAAGGTACGGAGCAAGTTTTTTTTTAACTATATAATCAATTCCAATGTTTGTGACAATTAGAATATGAAGAATAAAATCATCTAAAATGTAACAGAACAGTACAGTGTAACTTCCGAATTCCGGAACTTCTGAAATCCGGAAACTTCTAGAAACCGAACATTTTTTTCGGTCCCGATTTTTTCCCTTCTATTTTCTATTTATATAATACTTCTGAATTCCGGAACTTCTAAATTCTGAATTCCGGACGATATTTTTGTAAAATTAGAGTCAAATCAATGCAATTTCACCTCCAAAATCCGGAAATATCGAAAGGTGTGAAATACATTGTAAATCGAGAATGTTTACCCTGCAGGAAGATTTAATTTCCCTATCGATTGTTTACTAATTAGCGGTGATCGTGTAATTTGACACGCGTTAAAATCACAAACTGTGAAATGATATGTTTGAAGTGATGCGGTCAAGTAAAGAAATTGACGGCGGTCAGTTAATTTGAAGTGTTTATCAGCGGATTAAATGACAATTAATTGGGACAATGGGTGCATCAAACGTCTTTAGGGATTTTATTGCATTTGATGTACTTATTAATTTAACTAGCATCGGGACAATTTATGTAAGTTAAATAAAGTGTTAAATATAAATGGTGTTTCTTTTCCTTCTTTATCTTTATCTTAATTAAAAGACTATATATATAATGGTCCACATTTATTACATTTAGTGGGCTTACGTGCTTGGCCACATTATCCTCCTGAATTGAACCTTTAGTGGAACTTTTTTGACAAGACCCATGGGTCGTGTCGGTTTTCCAGAAAGTACACACATCAGGATAATGCTAGCAATCTAGTGTTGAGCAACGTTGTTCTGACATGAATAAACGTTGCAGATATATCTGACACTCTGAACACACTAAGGTTATTATAAATGTATGCAAAAACTGTCTTAATAACCCGCATATCATTATAACATCACATTATGTCAAAAGCAGTCTCATCAGAATAAAATGCTACAAACCTTTTTGGCAAGTTTTTTCAACACAGCCTTTCTACCACGTTGTTTTTTCCCAGCTTTCAAGTCTGTTTTGATTGATTTTATATTTGTTTCAAGATCAGCAGCATTGATCTGGTTAAATTTGGCTAAAGGTAGGTCTGTGATTGAACCTCCCAAGTTTTTAACATCATCACTAGAGATTGTGCTATCTTTAAAACATGTCTTTATGATATACTTCATCTATTCATGAAAAAACAAGCAAAAAAAACCCAAATGATAGCAATGTAAAAATGCTTTACTTTCATATATGTAAAAATATAATGAAATATTCCTTTTAACAAAATATACCAAAAACTTTTAAACATACATCAAAAAAGAATATTTGAGCCGCGCCATGACCAAACCAACATAATGGGTTTGCGACCAGCATGGATCCAGACTGCTGCCTACGCATCCGCGCAGTCTAATCAGGATCCATGCTGTTCGCTTACAAACCCTATAACAAGTAGAGAAACTGATAGCAAACAGCATGGATCCTGATCAGACTGTGCAGATGCGCAGGCTGGTCTGGATCCATGCTGGTCGCAAAACCCATTATGTTGGTTTTGTCATGGTGCGGTTCATTTATCATAATGTCACTGGACCTAGTTAAAATCTACCACATAATTTAAGAGATGTTTGAAAGAAATTATGAATACTGACAAATGACATGCAATCACTTATCCTCATTTCTGCGCATTTTGTGTGAAGATATTTTTTTAGCTAAAAACATTGCCAATGTAATTTTTAACTATTATATATGAAGTTTCTTACGACATCTTTGGGAAACTCTGCTATTGATTTAAACAGCTCCATACATTTTGCATCACACATAACTCCTTGTGGAAGTCGTTTGAAAAAACTTCTTTTCATTTGTGTCAGATAAGGTCCATAGTCGGATTCTAGACTTGCACATGTGACCTGGTCAGGTTCAGGAGGTGTTGACAAGCATTTTTTTGAAGAGTATTGCACAAGCTAGAAATTAGAAAACAAAATAACATGATTTTTTTTCTCCAAATTTTTTTTTTCATCAAATATCCTTTGTTAGTAATTTTTATTCATCAAAATAAAACAATGATTAATACCATATCAGAAAACTGAAACATCGATTTGGACTTGATAAAAGGGAAAAGGCAGAGGTCAAAGAAAGAAATTGCCAGGTTGCATTTGTATATCAAATATCATGAGGCTGTGATGTTATGAAAATTTACTTCCACTCACCATTAATGTAGAAAATTAAACAAAGTTAACTAAACAAGAAGTGGATGAGGGGAAGTCCTGAAATTGAATCCAACAGTATGGGACCACATGTTATTGCTGTATACCAATATCACAAATCACAAGAGGCTGTGATAATTAGTTGCTGAGAAAAATGTTATGAAAAGATTTTCTCCACCCATGCGCCACCCATCATTCACCATATTAATACCTTAGTTTGCACCTGTGCAACACGATGAATTAGATTTCTTTGATGATCATTGTTTATTCAAAAAGATATTGTAGTGCCATACATTGTACATATAAAGACATTTTTGAAAATATTATTAAAACTTTCCATCTTGATACACTGTGGCCAAGTTTACTATGAATCTAAAAAAAAACTGTCTTGCCAGGGAATATCATGAGGAAAACAAGAGCACCGCTAGGCAGAGCATTATATGCCCGAAAGTTCTTTTTCTTTTTTTTAAATAAAGCAATTGTAAGACATTGGAATTAAATAAAGTATTACCTCCTTCAAATAACAATCCTCCTTTGAAGTTTCAATATTGTGGTCCAAATGGAACTTAAGTTATACCCCAGAAACTGTTTTCAGTTCTAAGGTAATAGTCCCCTTGACCTTTGACCTTGTGACCCAAAAATCATTAAGGGTCTTCTACCCAATATGGACAATCATACTATGAAGTTTAAACACATAAGGCCAAATGATACTTAAGTTATGTTCCGAAAACTGTTTTTAGTTTTAAGGTAAAGGTGACCTTGACCTTGTGACCCAAAAATCAATAGGGGTCTTCTATCCAATATGGACAATCATCCTATGAAGTTTGAATATTGTGGGCTAAATGGAACTTAAGTTATGCTCAAGAAACTGTTTTCAATTTCAAAGTAAGTGACCTTGACCTTTGACCTTATGACCCCAAAATCGATAGGGGTCTTTTTCCCAATATGGACAATCATCCTATGAAGTTTGAACACTGTGGGCCAAATAGAACTTAAGTTATGCTCAAGAAACTGTTTTCAATTTCTAATTAATAGTGGCCTTGACCTTTGACCTTGTGATCCCAAAATCACTAGGGGTCTTCTACCCAATATGGACCATCATCCTATGAAGTTTGAACACTGTAGGCCAAATAGAACTTAAGTTATGCTCCGGAACTTGTTTTCAGTTTTAAGGTCATAGTGACCTTCCCCTTTGACCTTATGACCCCAAAATCAAAGGGGTCTTCTTCCCAATATGGACAATCATCCTATGAAGTTTGAATATTGTGGGCCAAATGAAACTTAAGTTATGTTCAGGAAACCAAATTGCTAATGGATGGACAAGCAAACAGTTGATTATTATGAGCTTCATTCCGTAGTTAAATAAAGAACAAAAACTCACAAAATTCAAATTAAGAGCTATTTCTTTTGTTTTTTATGAGCTTATTTTGCTTATGGACGTTGGTCCAGGTGGTTTTGCTTATGGACGTTGGTCCAGGTGGTGTTTATGAGCTGATTTGCCTCATAAACATCAAAAGTTGGTACAAAAAAATAGCTCTTAATTTGAATTTTATGAGTTTTTGTTCTTTATTTAACTATGGAAGAAGCTCATAATAATCATATGTTTGCTCTGACGGACGGACAGATGGAGGGTACTGACGGACGACAGATGGAGGGTATAACAGAAATTCTTTCGGGCATATAAAAAGGAATATGTTTGTGAGATGAAGGATTTCCAGTGACCTTTAATGACATGACATGATGAAACTGGAAATACCATTTGTAGGATCTGCATACCATTTGATGAAGGTCTATACCAATAATTTATGTGTAAAATTTCAGATCATTTCTCAGCATGTTTATCCAGAATAATCTGTATTGTGCATGCAGAAAGTTCTAAAATTGAAAAGTGCATTAAATGCTGCTATCTTGGATTGGGCTAAGAATTAGTAACTAAATACAGGATTCCAAGTATTATTTCCATGCTATCTTTTTCATATTTTCTGTTTTAAGTGCTCTAGTTTATCTATGTAAGATTTTCAAAGTTTATATTTTTAGGCTTTTAATTGACCTCAGTCAGGAGCTCCTTTATATAGAAAAACTCAGTAGTTAATTCATAGGCAAACTGCTTTCAATTTTTTTTTCTAAATACAAATGAGCCGCGTCAACACAAAACCAACATAATGGGTGTGCGACCAGCATGGATCTAGACCAGCTTGCGCATCCGTGCAGTCTGATCAGGATCCATGCTGTTCTCATTAGTTTCTCTACTTGTTATAGGGTTTGTAAGCCAACAGCATGGATCCTGATCAGACTGCGCCGATGCACAGGCTGGTCTTGATCCATGCTGGTGGCAAACCCATTATGTTGGTTTTGTCGTGACATGGCTCAAATAATTTATAAAATGCAACTGTAACAGAATGGAAAAGTGTCCTTTTAACTGTTTAAACAATCATGCCAGAACTGAAAGCTTAACATCATTGTGAATATTGGCCATTCATTCTTACCCTTTGACTCAAAACACCTGTCTTATACAATTCTCCAGCAAATTCACAGCCAACTTCATCAATTGCTTCTTTTATAACAGAATCTGGTAGGCAAGTTGTCATGAACCTCAACCTGCATAATAAAAAGTTCATCTTTATTTAAAGAAGCATGCCTTTAGATTCATGCTAATTAATTTACGAAAAATCAGCATGGCTTTTATGAAAAACAGGACAGATTCAGGCCTGTTTTGAACCAGAATTGGCAAAATCAGGGTGAAATAGACATGGACCCTGAATTTTCAAGAAATCTCACATGGGAATTCAAGTTTTTCTACCCTGACACCGTCTTCATTTTGGTAAAAGTCAGGGTGGAAGCAGGAATATTTGCACTTTGAAAAAATTTGACACAGATTTTACTGACTTGGAGAAATATAAGCAAAATCTACCCAGATATTTCAATGTTAGAAAATTTTCAAGAACCAGTTTCAATACATTCTTTAAAGTTCTTTATTTCCTGCCTGATTTTTCTGACTTAGAGTTATTAGAAATGAATATTGCAATACACTAATAATACAGTTTACATTGCTGTTCAGACAAAATTGAATTTTAAATTCAGAAGAAAAATGTTTTATAATATTTATTTCTAGACAGTATCACTTGATGTATGGTAAACTTCATTTAACAAAAATTATTTTCATTTACTGAATTTTTTTTTTTTTTTTGAAATTAATATGTGGATTATTTAGATCAACATGATTTATTGTTATCTATGAAATTGATAACTGTTACTAGTAATTGATTGTATCTATATTTAACTTATGACAAACATTTTTTTATTTAATGCATAAATTGGTCAGCTGAATAAGTAATGTTCAAGATTTTTAGTTTTTATCCGCCACCTCACAATCTGCACAGAATCTCATAATGTCTAAGGTCAGCTTTCAGTTTATATAAACAAATAACCTTCAAGTGGAACTTTATTCAGTATTTCAAAATACTTTATGTTAAACTGGGCTATCTGGTAGATGAAAATAGAGAAGTTAGCACAGATTGACCGAAAGCAGTTTAAAATCCAGAGCAAATATCACACCCTGAAAATTGTTTCCAGCTTGGTCATTTTATTTAGAAAGATTGGAGGCTTAAGTTGTGATTTTGAATCAAATAAATCATCTTACACTTATATATTAATATATAAATGAGTTTTGGTAATTATATGGATAATGAGATTTAAGAATTCAACTACCCTAGCTATTCAGAACTTTCTTGGAAAAATTATTGTGAAACTTAAAACATATATATAACATGGAGCATAATAGATGTGTTAAACTACGTTATTCGGTTTGAAAAAAATGGAGGGAAATTAGCAGCCAATTGTGACCGATAAATGGTAAGTTATAATTATATTACAGTTCTTGATATTTTTAATTTTTCATATAATAATGAATTTTGTAAGCCCAGTATTCTGAAAAGATTTTAAATAAATTTCCAGGAAACCTGTTTTAAAATATGGAGGGAAAATAGAAATCATTCTTAATTTTTCTAAATAAACCATACATTTTGATCATTCCATTCTAGAAAAAAAACCCACTGAAGTCTTAAAATGAAATAACAAGAAACATGGCAATGCCATGAAACCAGGTTTTCAATTATCACCATTGTAGATAAATATGTTGTATTTGAAATACAAATACAAGCAACAAACAATGTAACTATGTGCAATGTAAAACATGAATAATGTAGGAGGAATTGCCACTGAAGAAGTGTTCACTATAATATTATGTATAAGGAAAAAAACAAAGGGCCATAATTAGGTCAAAAACTATCCAATCACAAAACCCCGACAATATGTGCCAGGGTGCTTGATGACAAAGCTTCTGTGAAAGTTTGAACAAAAATCCGTTGAGAAATGTAGGACGAGTTCAGCACAGAAGAAGTTACAAAGTAGACATGAAATAATATATCATATCTTTTTTAAATTACCTCCAAAGATGATATGACCTTTGACTGCCAAATCAAGTTAAAATCATGTAAACAGGATTTTCAATGTTAATGTCACTGTGACCTTGACCTTGGAGCCAGCCATGCGGAACATGCGTTCTGCACGTCATCTTGATGTGGTAAACATTTGTCTGAAGTTTCATCAAAATTCTTCAAAGGGTTGAAGAGTTACAGAGCGGACAGGATTTTCAATGTTAATGTCACTGTGACCTTGACCTTGGAGCCAGCCATGCGGAACATGCGTTCTGCACGTCATCTTGATGTGGTAAACATTTGTCTGAAGTTTCATCAAAATTCTTCAAAGGGTTGAAGAGTTACAGAGCGGACACAATTTCGTTTGACGTTTCAATGTAAATGTTCACTGTGACCTTGACCTTGGAGCCAGCCATGCGGAACATGCGTTCTGCACGTCATCTTGATGTGGTAAACATTTGTCTGAAGTTTCATCAAAATTCTTCAAAGGGTTGAAGAGTTACAGAGCGGACAGGATTTTTCCATGTTAATGTCACTGTGACCTTGACCTTGGAGCCAGCCATGCGGAACATGCGTTCTGCACGTCATCTTGATGTGGTAAACATTTGTCTGAAGTTTCATCAAAATTCTTCAAAGGGTTGAAGAGTTACAGAGCGGACAGGATTTTCAATGTTAATGTCACTGTGACCTTGACCTTGGAGCCAGCCATGCGGAACATGCGTTCTGCACGTCATCTTGATGTGGTAAACATTTGTCTGAAGTTTCATCAAAATTCTTCAAAGGGTTGAAGAGTTACAGAGCGGACAGGATTTTTCCATGTTAATGTCACTGTGACCTTGACCTTGGAGCCAGCCATGCGGAACATGCGTTCTGCACGTCATCTTGATGTGGTAAACATTTGTCTGAAGTTTCATCAAAATTCTTCAAAGGGTTGAAGAGTTACAGAGCGGACAGGATTTTCAATGTTAATGTCACTGTGACCTTGACCTTGGAGCCAGCCATGCGGAACATGCGTTCTGCACGTCATCTTGATGTGGTAAACATTTGTCTGAAGTTTCATCAAAATTCTTCAAAGGGTTGAAGAGTTACAGAGCGGACACAATTTCGTTTGACGTTTCAATGTTAATGTCACTGTGACCTTGACCTTGGAGCCAGCCATGCGGAACATGCGTTCTGCACGTCATCTTGATGTGGTAAACATTTGTCTGAAGTTTCATCAAAATTCTTCAAAGGGTTGAAGAGTTACAGAGCGGACAGGATTTTCAATGTTAATGTCACTGTGACCTTGACCTTGGAGCCAGCCATGCGGAACATGCGTTCTGCACGTCATCTTGATGTGGTAAACATTTGTCTGAAGTTTCATCAAAATTCTTCAAAGGGTTGAAGAGTTACAGAGCGGACACAATTTCGTTTGACGCCCGCCCATCCGCCCATCCGCCCAGCCGCCCATCCGCCCATCCGCCCGCCATACCCCAATCTAATAACCAGGATTTTCAAAATTGAAAACCTGGTTAAAAATTATAACATGATTGTATATTTGTTTTTTTTTCTACATGCAAAATTTAGGTTGAAGCCAAATTATAATTTCAGTAACATATGACAAGAGGATGAATGAGAAGAAAATGGTGTAGTTGCAGAACAAAAGAATACAGTGGAAGAATAATTTACTGGTAATTTTTATTTTCTTCATTTAATTCTATCAAAATTAGTTTCAGTTTTAATTATCAAAAGCATTCATCCCAGCAAATTTCATAGAATTAATGACTTCATAAAGTCAGTACATATATCAGTGTTTCTGCCAGCTCTGATTTTCTGAGGGTCTTTTATGACCCCATGTATGATATTTTAGGGGTCATTTCAAATTCATAAGGGTCATGCCAATAAATTTAACAAAAATGTAAAAAAAAAAAACAGGTAACACTTTATAAGTTTTATTTACAATATTTTGTATATTTTTCGTGAAGAAATTGGTCAATCTCTGCTATTTTGGATTATTTGTCATCCAATAATAACGCTGTATTTCTTAAAAATTATGTGTGTTAATTTTCATAGAAGAAAGAAAGTCGATACTATATTGAAATTCGTTCATAGTCGCCTTCTATTTTTCATAGTGCTTCATAGTACCGCCTAGTGACGTAATCAAGGGCCAAATAAAGCTTGACACTAAATATGTTAGTGTTCATCCTTAGCTGTTTTACAGAAATTAGAAACATTCTCCTGTCGCTATCGCTCCCTTCGAAGTTTCTAATTTCTGTAGAACAGCACAGATGAACACTAACATCAGGGCCAAAACACCATTTTTGGGGAAGGGGCCTCAGCCTTTTTTGGGGGGGGGAAAATATGCGTCATTTTGGCATACTTTGGGAAGAAGGGTCTTAAATTTAACACAAACTTTTAACAAGGTCTTCAAAATAGAAAAGCAAAAAGCACTGGGAAATACAAATAAGGCAGTCAAAGACATTAATTCAACACCATCATTTAACTTTATTCTAAATTCTATGGGAAATTTCAAAAGACTGGGGAATTTTGAGTACCAAACTGGGGAAAAAAGAGGCTAGTTTATGGTTGGGGAAGTAGCCTATATTCGGCCTCTATAAAGAAGGGTTTTTTGGCCCTGAACATATACGCAGACTGCATTTTCCAGCAGACAGTTATTCGTTCGCAGAATATGACGACAACAAAATAAATAATTTTGTCTGGGCGCTTTCAATATATGCAGTAACGTATAAATGCAAGCTTTTATTAACTAGTTGAAATTGGCTAAATGCCGGACCACGGACCTGGTAAATTTCATTTCTCATTAAAATTATAGTGGAGCCCACGGTAAACATTCCGTACATTTTTATACTGAATTGACGCTTTATAGTCTGTATATCTGACTTGTGTTGAAATCAGCGACGGTGAAATTCTTGCGTCACAAAATACGCACTAACTAAATTTCATTGCGTCATGGCTGAAAATAGTGCGCCAAAAACGCAAAAACGCGCTCTGGCAGAAACACTGATATATGTCTATAATGCTGTAGCTCCTTAAAAAATAATTTCATCAATCATTTGTTCTTTTGATGTTTTGATTGCAATTAATGCAATATACCTTTAAAACTACACTGTATGGACATATTGCTCTATATTAAGTTGTTACATTTTCTTATAGATTAATGTATTATAAATTGAAAGTTGTCTATAGCATATTCCTTAAACACTGCTTTCATATATTTATTTATTTATTTTATATGTTTACAGATTGTGTAGCCCAGATACTATAGAGTGGAATTATGGGATACAGCTGGTAGATATCTAGTGGAAATATCAAACAAGAATGACTTTTGAAACGTATTTAATTGTATGAAAATCAAATACAGAACAGTGAAACAAAATTCTGAATTAATTATTATTTTGTCAAATATCATGGATGAAAATTTATAAACAAATAGCCACCACTGCATTGTGAAGATGATCAATTCAGCATTATGTTCATCAAATTAATTTGTTTGTTTGTTATGAGCTACTTTTTATCACCTATTATTCTAAAATACATAATGCTCAGAATATGATGGAATTTATTTAAGAATATTTTCTTCGGCTGGTTCTAAAAAGATCAGGAATCTGGGTGGATTTTTATTTTAATTTCAGGGTGGGATTTGCAAAATTTTAGGGCGGGATAATAACAGGAGGAAAAAAGTCGGCCTGACTTTTTAAACAGAAATCAGGGTGAATTATGGCTCATTTAAATATTTCAAATTTATCCCACCCTGAAATTGCTCTAAATTTAACTAGAAGTAAATCTATTTTTAGAAATCTGTGTGAGTGAAAATTCTGCCCTGGATTTCCATTTCAGGGTGGTATTTTTTCTGGCTCATTTAAATATTTCGTTAAATCCACCCTGAAAACACTATATATTGTATACTAAAAAATTTAAAAATAGATTTCTGTCTTCTCTATAGTCAACTGAATAGCTTAAAAAAACCTGGCTGGGAATAAATGTCTTATCCCATGTCAAATCAGGGTGTAGTCAGGGTAGGCATTTTCGTACAGGTAAATTCATAAAAATTTTGAAAATACAGCCACATTAGTCTTTAATTGTGAAAAACATGTAAATTAATACTGAAATCCTGAATCTTTTTACTTTTCTTATATTCTTAGTACATTTTTCTCAAGTTTTATTTTCTTTAAATATTTTGGCTCTCATGGAGGCATGCTGTTTAAGACAAATATACACGATTCTAGTTACTTAACAAGAAAATTGAGCTCACATATTTTTGCCTATCATAAAAAGTTGTCTAGAACATGTACATTAAATATAATGCCAGATGCTATGTCAATACCAGCCATTTTGCAAGATGACTATGGTTTCAGCCACATCAATAATTTCTACTGAAGAAATAGACTGTAAACAAAAAATTTAAACAATAAAATTACACTGAATTTTATCTCTTGAAAGCCCCTGTAAATTAGTAGTTGGATCACATTTTAAATTTTTATTTTACATGTGTCCATCAACATTGTGTATGTGGACATAAAAAGTAGAGCCTGCAAACAAGTTATATCATTTTACCTTCCAGCAGCTTCCCTGGAATTAAACTGAAAAGGTGATGTTCCACCAGTGACAGCTTTAGCTGCTAGCATTTTACCACAAGGTTTATTGCTTGGGAATAATTTTTTTGTCTGATATAACAAATGTTGGAGAATTTTATTGAACGGATTATCTTCCCCAATAAGATTAAACGGTTTGCACACCCATGGTTGAAAGCCAAATGCATTTATATCTTTCTGGATCTGTAAAAGAATAAGAGATGAAATTTAAGAACAAAAACACTTCTGACATCTCATTATCATTACCATTTGAAAATTACATTTTTTAGTTAAATGTTCTTAGCTAAATGTCATGCTGAAGAAAAATGTAAAGCTATACTGTCATGATAGAGTGAATGTTGCGGTAGTGTAACACTTAGTGTTTCCTTAAGAAAAGAATAAACAAACACATTTGAAATGAGAATGTCTGGAATAAAGGTAACATTTACAAATAAACCTTTAAGTCAATATTTCTTTCCTTTTGTGAATAATAATGGAGTGCCATTAGTTATAGTTATAGTTCCAGCATGGAAATAATTGTGCTCCAAAACTGAGGTAAGGGTTTTTGCCTTGATGCTTACCTCAGTTTTGGAGCACAATTACTTCCATGCTGGAACTATAACTGATTAGCCTTAGTTACCTGAGAGCTAGTAAAGAGCTAGACCAGCCAGCGCCTCCGTGTTGTCTGACCAGGTTCTATACAGTTGATAGGCTACAGTATCTCATATTTTGCATTTTGACATTGAAATCTCTGTTTGACTAGTAAAGATTAGAATGCAGTGCAAATCGCCATTACATTATTAAGGACGGTTAATCGTTAATTCTGCAATACCACCTAGCTACTACACTGTTTGCCTCTCAACATTTAAACCTTTCAAATCTAACAATAGGCATTTTAGTTTCATTAAAGAACAAGGTCCACTTGTGTGAAGGTGAACATATTTGAAATAAACTATATGTGCAGAGAACACAGAAGCTCTAACATCCTAGCTACTGTTTCTTAAATGTATGTACACAGTTTTTAATTAAATTCAATAATCACCAAATCGTTGTCGACATTTTTGCAGACACTGGGAGGTGCACAAAACATCAGAAACTTGATATTGTTCCATCCTTGATTCATCTGTCTTGCAGTCTTGTACAGTCGAAATGCCCTACCACAGAGAGCTTTTATTCTGGCACTATTTGGGTCCATCAGTATTTGAGTAGACACTGCTCCTCTGTAAATTTCTGGAACCTATCAAATAAATTGAGATCACAGTGGAGCCTTTTGGAGGCCATATTATAAAGAGGTCACATCACTGGGGACAAGGCGGGGGGAGGGGGTCATTATATTTAGCCTTATTGAAACCAGCAAGTTAGGTGGGTTTTTTTCACAAGAAGGGGAAGGGGCCCTTAGTAACCCTTAGATTTGGGGAAAAAAACATAGTACTTTTGCAAAAGGGCAAGAAAAAACTTGATTAAATTTTAGGGGATAATAAACTGCAAGATTTTAAAGATTTTGTTATGCCCCATATTTTACATCAAATTCTTTAGAGTAAAGAATTTATTATTGTAAAAATAGCTTGTATGTATATAGTTGATTATATTTGTATTTTCATTTTTTTGTATGTTTATAAATGGTTTTATGTATTTTTTGTTAAATAAATATAAACTGTTAAATAACAATTATGATTTCTTTTCAAAAACCCTAAACTTTGGAAGCCAGTTTAAGGAAATTATTAATCTAATGGTTTAAGACCTTATTAATTAAATAAACATGTCATACTCTAGTAAAAACTGTCATAATCTCAAGTCTGTCTAGAGTAATAAATTCATAATATCTTTTTGAGAAACTTGTTAATCTTTCATCCCCTTCTATGTTAAATAATAATGACATTTCCTCTATATGTATTAAAAAGTAATCAGATGTGTGAAACTTATCAGAAAGTCTATTTTTCTAAAATCCTTTGGCTTTCAGCTTGTTTGTCACCTGGAATCAGCATTTTCCTATTTAAACAACTGAAATCCATCCAACTTCATCATTCGAAGTTCGGAATTGGATATTAATAAAATAAAAAGTTAAATTTATTTTCAACTCTTGATTCCAGCCAGGCACCTTCCATTTCCTAAGTCCCTTAGACGTCCAATAAGTATCATAGTGTAATATCAACAACAGAGAATTCTTGTGCATATCAACTTTTCCTGAGGGGAAGCCACAAAGAAACAGCCCCTACTATAGAAGATTAAAAGTCCTGAAACTAAAAGCATTCAGCTTATACACTGGTGGCTGATTTTGAGTTCCCTATTATGTTAGAAATTACACCACACCTCCCTGAAGAGTGTGTAGAGTAAGAAATTGTATTACTTATACAACATTCAAAATATAAGGTACCGGTACTGAAAAATAGTTTAAAAAAACTTTCAGTTTAGTGGGCAATTTGTTTTAACAGCTACATATTGGCTTTGTAAAATCAATATTTTAAGGTGAGATGCTCTTAGATAAGAATTATAGTTGAATCTGTCTGTGTGAATTAGATTTTACTTTTTTAAAGGAACAACCCTGAACACTTACTTCTGTCTGCTTATCATCAAATTGATTTTGCACAGCTTTTGTAGTTTCAAGGTAAATCTGATTTAAGCTGAAATTACATTAAAAATGTGGCATTTTGATAAGAAAAATAGAAGCTATAAAATTATAAATACAGTCGAACTTCGTCCCCTCGAACTCGGAGGGTCTGTGCAAATTTGTTCGAGAGATAGGTAGTTTGAGCCAACCAAGGTTGAACTATTATCACGTAGGACATAGGCCTTAACGTTCTCCAGCTTACAACGGCCAAATGATAAATACGTCAGTATAATTGTTTGTTAGTACATCAGTTCGTCAAATACATCATTTCTTTTAAATAATACGAATTATTATCCAAGTGTTTTCAAATGAGTATTAACATTTAGAACATGCTTACTCGTAACTTTTGTTGTCTTTTTGTGTTTGACTGAAAAGATGTGATGTTAACTATATTTCTGCCAAAGAGACCAGCGATGAGGTACGAGAGTTCAAGGGATCAGTGTTCGAGCGATCCGAGGTAGAACATTATATATTGTATAGGAATTTTGCTGGGACTGGGCGCTGAGTTCAAGCGAAGGGATGTATTTGAGCGATCCAAGTTCGAGCGAACGAAGTTTAACTGTAGGTAAATGAATCTCCATTTTCCTTCTTGATGTGAACGATTAAGTTTACCTGCATCTACTTTATAGGCTAGAGGTATAAAAACATAACAATATTTTAAATAGAAATATTTTAAATTAATGAAAAATTCTACTGGAAAAGCATGACGAGACCATTGAGAAAATATGTTTGCAAACTTGATAGACCATTTATAAATATTATGCTGGCATACCTTTAAATATATCACTTATAATATGTGCTTAATATGCTATTGTGTTTAAATATGACTCTTATTGCGACGGACGCGCCCTCAGGCGCGTTCAGAGCCAAGTCATCTACACATGGGATTTCGTCTGCTACAATCGCGCAAAGTGTCCTCAACCGATTAACAGCCCAAGAAATAGTACATGAATTTGATCCTTAAAAACTCCCATACTTTGTCAGGATATCTTAAAATCTTCAATATTTAGCCTTTTCAATTTCAAATTAAGTTATCCAAGTTAAAATATGAACGTATATGATTGATAAAAACGTTGTAGTTCCGTAGTATTATTGCGCAATATGCAAATTACTGCCGAAACGATTTACCGCTGTCGAAAAAGTAGGACAACAAATTATACTATAATACAGGTGTAAGCTCTGAGTTCCAAGAAATTATTAGTAGGAAAAAAATATTTCTACATTATACAAAACATTATTATTAACAAATCAAAAGTTTTTCGTGACTCTAGAATAACTCGCGCATTAATAAAAGAAGAACTATTTTCGTGACTCATACCGCGGGTTTAGCTGAATATTCAGCAGTTATTAATGAATTAGATACAGTACAATGGTTAGTATAAATATCTATTTTTGAAAATGCATGTAACAAGAGAGTTTGTCAACACTTTAGCACCATGTAGTCTTTCATGATAATCTTTATTGAAGGAAGTTATGATATCAGTTCTACTTCCGATTCTTGTGGTTTGTTTACATATTTTTCTAGGTCACGATATGAGTTGACCTTCGCTATTCTAAAAATAGATTCTGATTCACCTGATTTTCGGACAGGCGATTAGGGAGTACACATTATACATGTAGTAAACCAGCGGATACTTACTTTGTTTACATGCAATACTTTCAATACAATTGTAAGAAGCAAACAAGTTGAAAATGGAATTTAGTGTGAAAATGAAAAGGACAACTAAACACTGTAGTGCTTAAGTGACATTTAGATTAAAATAAAAACGATGTGCTCTGGCCCTTGTAAATAAAAAATTCTAAAAAACATTATTAATTGCTGACGATTTTAACCAAAAATATTTTTAATGAGACATATCCAAGAGAAATAAAAATACAAATGACTTATATTTTATTGTCTATATGCCCACTATGTTATACTAAATACATTCTAATACATACTAATACATTCTCACATGTATAATGTATTATGCTTGAAGTTTATTTTGCATGGTTTTATTTTAGAAATATTTTGTTGACAGTTTTTTTTTTCTATTTACATATCATTTCTTGGAATAAATCGATAAGGACACAGTGATTTACAAGTTTGACCAGAGTTTTTAGGCATAAATTTCATTCTGTATTTAAATGCTTGAAAGTAGAAAATCTGAATTATATCAGATTGGGACACAAAATATATTGCTCTACAAATCTCGAACTTGTATGGAACAAATTTTCTCTGTTATATATTTTGTGTTTTATTTGTGTTTTTTTTTGTTTTTTCTAAAAAAGCCTAAATGTCTCCACGGTTGCATGTCTGCAGCACTTTGATATATATATATTTCATAATTATTCACATGTTCATGTACACACCCACACACAGATGTATTTATTATACCTACATATATTCAAAGACGTCATTAGAGAGATATTTGTATTCCCCTGGGAGAAAGATTGTCACTACTGCCGGCCCTATGTTTTCCACTTCAGCCAAAGTCACTCCCTTCACACCTCCCAGCTTCTTCACCAGTTCTTGTCCAAGAGCTACCATTTCACCTGATGAAAATGATCCCTGCAACAATGTATTTAACGTCATCAACCTGTACTCTGCTGATTCCAAAAATGTTGAGTCTTTGCCACCAGTACAGAGCCAGGCTTGCCTAAACATTTGTGCACTCTGATAAGGCTCTATCTACTTTTAACTTTCATCTTGATATCCCTAAATCAGATATTGAACAGTCCCAAAAATGGAAACTGGGCAAGTTCATTTAGGAAATTCAGCAGCTCAAGGGTTAACCTTTAGATCGTTTAGTGGCAATTCTGACATACCTCACAAGGTGTCAGTTTAAAGCATTAAAACTCTGCATATCTTTTCAGTATGACAACACTCAAGTTATTGACAACAAGGCCATTACACAATCTTATAAAGGGTTGAGATTAAAATGCTCCATCCTTTGATATTGTTACAGTCTTTTTTATCTAACTGTAATCATACATAATACTTAACTAAGGTCCTTAAACCCCAAGGTGCATAAGTACATGGTTGACCAACATTCTTGTAAACTTTCAGAGTTATGCATGAACAAGTTGAAAACTGCAAATTTATACTAAAGCAAGGGCAATAACTCTAACAAAACTGAAAAAAAATCCACATGCAAAACCCATAGCTTCACAGTGATGACTTGATCATTATTCCTTAAAGTTGGTTGATTCTAACTCAAGCACTCAAGGAACAAATAACACAACATAATGGAACAGTTTTCACTAAGTCAAAGGCAATAAATCTGACAAAACAGAATAAATCCATAAGCGAAACCCCAGGTGCACAACTACACATGCTGAGCAAAATTCCGGTAAGGTTTCTTGACTCTAGGTCAAATACTTTTCTAGGTCAAACTAACTTTGTATGAAAAACATATTCTGAAATAAAATGCTTGTTGGGCTTACGATCTTTGTTATTTTGCAGGCCCGAATTGGCTTTTACTCACCAGACAGACATTGGGCATGTGCATGCCTTATTTCACTGATTGTCAGTGTGCCTAAAAATTTATGAAATGCCGAGGTAAAATTTATGTTACATACCAGACTTCCCGAAATATGTCGGTCTGACGGACATGTCCGATAAATTTTGATAAGGTCCGACAATTTTTTATTCTGGATCGGTCCGACTGTCCAGCTTTTATCCAAGTTGCATGTATACAAAATGGCGTCGCTAAATGTGCCAAACGTGGGGAAAAATGAAAATCTACGACAGCAGAGTGCGCAGTTCAGCAGTAAAAGGATGAAAAGAATAGATCTGAGACAAAATTTAATGAAAAAAATGGAAGCAGGACCGTGAATCGTTGGTGTAAGACAGGGAGGAGATGAAAATGAGCTGTACGGACTGTGCTGATTTTTACGGCTAAAAATTAAAACCTAAAAGTGTCTTAGAAATACAAACAAAAGTTTTCCTTTGATTTTGATGAATTTTATTCGGTCCGACAGATTTCGTTTCGGTCTGGCAGATTTTCATGGTTTGTCAGACCAAATGTCTGACACTTTTTTTTAAAACTTTTGGGAAGACTGACATACCAATGTGAAAGAGAAAATAAATACATACTGACATATTTTTTGCTTTTATCATTTCTATCAAAGCATTAGCATCAAGCTTTTTTAGAGAGTCCGAGAATTGTTCCATATCATTTTTTGGTATGACCTGAAAAATGTAAAGAAATTTCTTTGTACACAAAACATTTTCTGGTATATCCTGAAAAATAACATCATTCCGTAGAATGTCCCGAAAATATAAAATATTTCCTGGTGGTATTTCCTGAAAAATGTTAAATATTTTCTAGTATCTTCAAAAAAACTATAAAGCATTTCCTATTATGTCCTGAAAAATAAATAGGACCTTGTGTCCTGAAAAAAATATAAAACATGAAATATTTTAGGCAAGCATGTCATGGAAACAAAACATTTTCCTGTCCAGAAAAAATATCAAACATTTCCTAGTAATATAGTAAGAGCAGAAAAATATAAAACCTTTCCTGCAAGATACAAAAATATTTCCCTGAAAAATATACATTTACGAGGGGTGATCCAAAAATTCGTGGACACCCTGCATAAAACAAAAAGTAATAAAGCAAATCACATCAAATTCTAGTATCTTATTAAGTGAGCATATGTCGGCAAATTCTTAAAATATTGTAAAGATTGTACAAGAATTAACGATTCTGCACAAGTTTATATACATAGACATGACAAAACGCGGCGCAGCTCAAGACGTCACAAACAACGTTATGCTATCATAGGAAGTTATTATTAATCTAGTTGTTACCATTTTGCCTTATCACTTTTCAAAGTATTCCCTTTTAACCCGCACAAATTTTCATGGCGGCGGACCCTGTCTCTAAAAGTACTCGCATACCATTCCTGGCTGAATGATGACAGTATGCATCGGGTGGCTCCTCTCAACTCGTCCAGATTGTCAAAACGTCTCCGTATCAACTCTTTCTTTAACCTGAGAAACAAGGCGAAGTCACACGGGGAAAGATCAGGCGAATATGGTGGCTGACTGAGTACTTCTGCTCCAAGCTGGATTTGAATGGTCAGTTGTGTGTCCCGGGCACGGTGAGCAGGTGCATTGTCTCGCCAGGCGTCTTCCCAAGATTTACACAGAACTGTATAACTGTCCGAAGTTTTGCTGGATCCGTGGTAAAGCTGTTTTTAGCACCTGTTCTTTAAAGCACGAGTGTAAAATAACCGCAACTTCAAAATGTCTTCTGATACTGACAGAATAATGTCATACACATCAAAACAACGTTATTATAATGTTTCCCGCAATTTTCTTTGTTTGCACAGGTTTTACATGTGTTTAAATGCGATGAAAATGTTTACATCACAGAGAAAAAGTAAGCTGCGCCGCGATTTTGATACTTAATGTTTTGATGTTGTCATATATAGATAAAAAATGCAATTGGTGTTTTAAAATTTGGTCAATTTATTAAAAAGGCATTGATTAATAATATCGAAAGAGTTCACCTCGGTAGGACGTCACGTTATGGAGATACACACATTGTCCACGAATTTTTGGATCACCCCTCGTATTTAGATGAACATGTACAATATTCTTTAGATAGAATTGTGTAAAATTCACGTGAAAATCATAAATGCAATTGAATTCTTGGCTGTTTTTAAACAAGTAATAATAGACCTGTGTGGCTTTGAATTTATGTAAACTATGGGCAGATTTTTTTTTCCGCATTAAATGTGTATTTTGTGAATTTCTGTATCAACTTTATGCTGACTGTATTAATATACTGTAGGCTGGATACTGTCATGACCAGACCTGTCTCACTGATTTTTTTTAGCAACATCCAAAAAAATATAAAAATTATTGCTCTTTTGCAATTTACTTCTTAAGATGTCTCTTTTTTTAAATTTGCAGTCTTCGACTTAACCCACTCGACCGACGACTGAGTCGAGTAAATTTGCGGGTGGTCGAGTGAAAATTCCAAGCTGGTAGCCGTCTGGTCGAGGGCTTTTTTCATATCCAAATTAAGAAAATGTTTGAAATATGCAGAGCTCCAGATAGCAATGTTTTGGCTTTATGAAAATACAATATATTTCTGCTGAATTGGATGGAAAACTAAAAGTACTATTGTCAACACTGCTGTAAGTTGAAAACGAAAGTAGCAGGAAGTGACATCGAGTAAAAAGGGAAGGTAACTCTTGGGAGTTTCTGAAATGAAATTATTGATAAAGTTAAATTTGGTGTAATCATCGTAGGACTGAACCTAATATTCAATTTGTTTAGACATATATTATAATGTTTTTGCTACAAAATAAAGAAAAATGTTGTACTTGCCACTTTAGTTATTGGAAAACATATTTCTCCCTTGCCTGATCTGCAGTTTTGTACTCAATATTTTCATACCAAGTTTTCAGATACGGACAATTTCCTCAAAGACTAATTCTTTGTGTATAAAAGTTTTAATTACAGTATGTAAAGAAAGGAACTTTTTAGAAGGCAATGAAATTTGATAACAAAACAATGCAAATTCTTTTTATAAATTTTACCCCAGAATTTTCATTTTACTCTAGATTTTGATGGGTAAAACCACCTTGGCCCTAAAAATTATTTGCAGCTTTATTGAACTTTAAACACTTATGAAATATTATTGATTGTTAGACATTTATTAGGCGTCATCTCATGCTTCACAATATGTCTTTTCTCTTGTATTTTGAAGGCACTAAGCCAAAAAGGAACACACCAAAAAAAATAAAAGTAATACGAAAAGGAATATAAATAAGTTGTCAATGCATGTATCAGCCGACATGGTTACAGTTAACGAGGAGAAGAGTATTTTCAGTTTTTTAAACAATTTTTTTCAGTGTCTGTGGACAATGCCACAGAAATATCAAAATATCTTCTTTTCATATGTAGTTTAAACTCTTCTTATTTAAATAATGAAAGGAAGAAAAGTTGATTAGTTGATATTTTAATAATGTTCAATGGTATATAAAACATATAGAAAGTGTTATTTTTGTACAAAATGTATGCAAAGAATACCATTTTGGTTCGGGCTAGTTAAAATGTGTTCGGGCTAGTGAAATTTGTAAGCTGCTAGCCCGACTGGGCTAGTGCTGATAAAAAATTAAGGCGAAGACTGAATTTGTGGTCGTAAATGCTTAAAATAATCATATTTAACATTAAAAATATTGTTATATTCTATGTGAGAAAGGGGCATAACTCTTGAAATACTGATCACTTAGTTATGAACCCTGTCCTACAGATGTATCAATTACAATATCTTTGGGAGTTTACCTAATTTTCCATCAACAATTATTAAAGTCAATCAAAAAATATTCTTAGTGACAAAGGACTAGAGGCATTACTCCAATAATATAGCTTTAAGAATAATACTCCTTGTTCACTAGTCTACAATTGCACCTTAGAGTCCTGAATAGCTTTTTTGAGGAAAACTATTGCTAAAATTGTTAATTTGCTAAGTAAAGAAAACTTGACCATCTTTTTATGAAAATTTCCTTCCATTCAGAACAGGCCTTATATGGGCTTCTGTTATATAAGGTTAAAACACACTTCTAAGTATCATGCTGATACCGTTGATTCTTCTGAAATCATTGTATTTATTGAGCAATTTGTCAAGGGGCACAACTCCAAATGCATTGCTTTAAGAGTAATGCCCCTCTTTCTTCAACTGGAGCAAGTATCCTTAGTTTCAAGTTGACACTTGATAAAGTTTTAAAGTCATTCTACTTACCAAGCAATTTTTTGAAAATTGAAGTTAAAATATGGCATGTCTCCAAAAATATAGTCCTTTGTCTAAAATTTGTTCCTTAGTCATGATTCAAGTATTCCAAGTTCCCTGTTGGTATCATTAAAAAAATCATTATGTGATTAAGTGTGATTTTTTTTCACAATGCCACGATGATCACAATATCTTGGATTTTTTCTCCAAAACAGACAACCTAAAAAATTGTACAAAATAGCATGAATTAAATACCTGTATACTAATATTTTTTTCTTAAGATATTTCTGACATTGACATGAAGACCTAAGACTGAAATACTAACTTGAATAGTGCCTCCATCATTTGGATCACAGAGTTCATGTAGAACTGGGAATTGAGCTTCTATTTTTTGCTTTAAAGTATCGATAACACTCTGTTGTGGATTTCTCAGTTTGCTTAATTCCCTGTATAAGAAAGTATATGTATTGTCATATATATAACACACTATGTAAACCAACCGTATCATTGTAATAGAATTATGCATATCTAATTAAGTCTGATGGATAAAGTACATGGGTAGTGATGGAAAAGTAAAATATGCAAGCTTATTTTCTTTAGCATTTTAAGTTACAATCAGCATGAAAGTGTTTTGTGATAAGCACATTTCTAGATTGTCCATCACTGGTTATATCTTTTTACAAAAAATTGCAATTAATAAGATAAATAAAATTTGAAACCTAAAAACAGTCATATTTAAAATTTATGAAATATAGCAGCTGCAAAACTGTCTACATTATAATATTTGATTATTACAGTACTGTTTTTCATCTTTTTTTTTGTTTGTAAAGGTGCAGGAACTCACATGGTATGATCTGGATACAAATACCGGCTATAGAATAGCTAATTGTTAGTCTGTTTTATGGTGGACCAACACAATCCAGGTCATATGGTGCCAAAACAGGAAAAAATGATTTTTGCTAATCTTGGGTGTTACAAACGTAAAGCAACACCAGGGGTCAAAACCATCTCAACTGCTGGAGCTATTAGAGATACAATTAGACTTTAGTAGTTTGAACCCATTTCGTCCCCTCTTACAATCACACAGGGATAAATGGTGGCTGCAATTCTGATGCCTCAACCCTTAAAGGCAACCCGTCAGCCACAAGGGGGATAGAATGGTTAAAATGTGCTGTCTAATTATTCCAATGAATAAGCAATTTATACCTATATGCAGTTATCAGAAATAAATGCCCATATACAGTTACCAGAAGTAAATAGATAATTTTTGACCATCAAACAATCAAATGCTGATCATAACTGGAAAGCATAATTACTTTGCTTAAATAACATCAAATGAAAATAAAAGTTTTAAAAGTAAATCTATTTCTAATACCAGAAAAAAACACACCTTGCAATTTTAATTGTGCCAATTGTGAAATAATTGCATAACAGAACAAAAGAAATGCACCAGAGTTGCAACACTGGATATATAACTTGTCAAATGACCCCACACTGGAATAAGCTCTTAAATGAGGTGAAAAGTCCTGTCTGAAAAAGATACTTACACTGCTAATTCTTTTTTTACTTGAGCTCTTATCTGACCACATATCTCTACATTAAAGATAAATGAAAACACATTTTTTGTTATGACATTTAATAAGGAAAACAACAAAGCAAACAATTTAATGCACCAAAATCAAATGGTTGCATCAAATTACAGTACAATTTACTTATTTATAAGTTAGATCAGATCTTAAAAAGTCTTAAAGAACTTTTAAATGGCATTTGGTTGCATCAAATTACAGTACAATTTACTTATTTATAAGTTAGATCAGATCTTAAAAAGTCTTAAAGAACTTTTAAATGACATAAGAATCTAAAAAAAACGATGTGCAAATAGAAAAGTAGTTAGAATTTTAAAATACTGCTGCTATATAATGTATATAAATATTGGCTCTTTTTGCCAATCAGTATTTTTGCTAAATTCTGGTAGCAGGTGCTTGTGATGTCATCAGTCAACTTGTCTACACAGACTGGATTTGATCCAGAAATTGCCAGTCCAAAAAGGGTACTTACCATCACTATTACAGCCCTTAGCATGTTCATTTACATAATTTTTTTCAATTTCCTCTTTTTCCTCCTTTGTGCCTGCCTTCTCTATTGCACTGTAGAAAACATGATTCAACTTAAGATGAGTATTCAAAAATAAAACTGAGTAAAAATAAAACATTTTGCTATATATACAGCGGTTTTTTTTCTCTACTTTGGGAATGGTGCCGGTACCAGACTGATTGGGAAAAAATGCGTTATTTTGACTAAAATTGGGAATTTTTTTAATGCATTTTTTCAGCTTCAAATGAGATTAGACATCATGAATAAAGATAGCTAACAGCTTCTACTGTCAAAATAGAACTATTGAGTGGTGTTTTATATGAATATGTTGGATTTAAATGATTTTAGAAAAATCACTTGGCCTTGTGGGCATTTTGAACAGCCATTTTGGGAATTTAACATTGGAAATTGGGAATTTTAATGTCTATTTTCAATTGGGAATGGTACCGTTTTAGGGTAGTAGTTATATAAAGAAAAAAAAACACTGATATATAATCTAAACGCTCAAGGTCTTATTTTTAATAATATAATAAACAAAAACTGATTGGTCAAATGAATTGCATTTGTTTCTGAAAAAAAAATCATACTACTTTTATTTTATTTAAAGATTTTTAAATATTTTCAGAAATCTGAGCTTGTCATATTTTTTTTAATACATCAAACAGGTGAACAAGCTGAAGATTTGGCAAAATTTCAAAGACATGCTGCTGAATTTAAGAAGACCAAGTTTGCTTCCTGAGACACTGGCAATTTAATGTTATAAAGAATTAACACACAAGCAAACAAAACAAAAAAATATTTTTCTGATGGGGGTCAAAAATTTTCAGTCACATCTACACTTTTAAGATCATATGGGGACATTCAAGCCTTACTGGTAAACAGTTATATGGAAACTTTCCAGCTTTGCTGGTACAGGGTTATATGAGGACTTTCCAGCTTTACTGGTAAAGGGTTATATGAAGACTTTCCAGTTTTACTGGTACAGGGTTATATGGGGACTTTCCAGCTTTACTGGTAAAGGGTTATATGAAGACTTTCCAGTTTTACTGGTACAGGGTTATATGGGGACTTTCCAGCCTTACTGGTAAAGGGTTATATGAAGACTTTCCAGTTTTACTGGTACAGGGTTATATGGGGACTTTCCAGCTTTACTGGTAAAGGGTTATATGAAGACTTTCCAGTTTTACTGGTACAGGGTTATATGGGGACTTTCCAGCCTTACTGGTAAAGGGTTATACTGGGATTTTCCAACTTTGCTGGTAAAGAGTTATATGGACTTACCAGCTTTGCTGGTAAAGGGTTATATAAGGAATTTCCAGCTTTACTGGTAGGGTTATATGGGGACTTTTCAGCTTTACTGGTAAAGGGTTATATGGGGACTTTCCAGCTTTACTGGTAAAGGGTTATATAGAAACTTTCCAGCTTTGCTGGAATATGGTTATATGAGGACTTTCCAGCTTAACTGGTAGGGTGATATGGGGACTTTCCAGCTTTACTGGAAAAGGGTTATATGGAAACTTTCCAGCTTTGCTGGTAAAGGGTTATATAAGGAATTTCCAGCTTTACTGGTAGGGTTATATGGGGACTTTTCAGCTTTACTGGTAAAGGGTTATATGGAAACTTTCCAGCTTTGCTGGTAAAGGGTTATATGAGGGCTTTCCAGCTTTACTGGTAAAGGGTTATATAGAAACTTTCCAGCTGTGCTGGAATATGGTTATATGAGGACTTTCCAGCTTTACTGGTTAAGGGTTATATGAGGACTTTCCAGCTTTGCTGGTAAAAGGTTATATTGAGACTTTCCAGCTGTGCTGGAATAGGGTTATATGAGGACTTTCCAGCTTTACTGGTAAAGGGTTATATAGAAACTTTCCAGCTTTGCTGGTAAAGGGTTATATAAGTAATTTCCAGCTTTACTGGTAAAGGGTTATATAGAAACTTTCCAGCTGTGCTGGAATAGGGTTATATGAGGACTTTCCAGCTTTACTGGTAAAGGGTTATATAGAGACATTCCAGCTTTACTGATACAGTGTTATATGAGGACTTTCTAAACTTACTGGTAATGGGTTATATGGGGATTTTCCAGCTTTACTGGTAAAGGGTTATAGGAGGACTTTCCAGCTTTGCTAGTACAGGGTTATATGAGGACTTTCCAGCTTTGCTGGTAAAGGGTTATATGAGGACTTTCCAGCTTTACTGAGTCTGTAAAGGGTTTAATGGGGATTTTCAGGCTTTATAGGTAAATGGTTATATGAGCACTTTCCAGCTCTACTGGTAAAGGGTTATTAAAGGACTTTTCAGCTTTACTAGCAAAGGGTTATAAAGGATGACCTCAGTTGCCCCTTTTTGCAGGAATCTAAGTAGAACCACCAATAAAGCTTGCATGAAAGCTTCCTGACCTGAAATAAGTCCTTTGTTGGATTTGAACCCACAGTGGTTGAATCCACAGTGGTCAAGGGCCAGTGATTTGAAGTAGGCGACATTTACAATTTGGCCATGGAGGCCGCGTATAAAATGACAAAAACTCCTTGGTTTGATGAACTTGATGAATTTAGAAAGTAAACTTATCTAATACAAAAATAATGACTCACGCCTTCATTTCTTCTTCCAATTTCTCAATTAATGCCTTGCAGGTTTCTAAAAATAAAGATAATTGATAGTGATAATGTATTAAGCAACATTAATATACATGTATCATGGATTCAAAATAGATCATGTATGATATAATTTGCTCTTTATTTAAAAGTAAAACTGCACTGTTGTAAAATTTTACCAAAAAATCTTTATTGTATTGTCTGCATGTAACTGAATAATCAGTGAATTTAACAGCTGACATAAAACTCAAACTTGCAAATTGCAAATATTAAATTATGTTGATTAACCCTTTCGCTGCCAGAGGGTTATTGTTTTATTGATCACCTATTTGCCAGAGGTTTTCCTAAAAAAATACTATATTATTAATTAATATAACTAGAACTGCCACTATCATGGCGTGAATACCCCCGCATACCACTTTGTCAGAATCAACAATGGCCATTTAGAGCTCAAGGACAACCTCCCTGTCTGAGGTTACTAAGCCAGTGCATTGCTAAGTTATGTATTCTACATGCTTCAAATGTGAAAATGTCAAAATCAATACATTGCAGACAGGACATTCTTTAGCAATTGAGAAGAAAAGCTTTTTTTTGTCAAGGTCCCTGTGACCTTGACCTTTGACCCAGTGACCTCAAAATCAATAGGGGTCACCTTATAGTCATGATCAACATCCATGCCAAATATGAAGACTGTGGGTCAAAGGAATCTTAAGTTAATGGGTGGACAAACTTTTTGAAGTCAAAGTCCCTATGACCTTGACCTTTGATCCAGTGACCTCAAAATCAAAAGGGGTCATCTACTAACAGGGCTTTTTTTCCTTCTATAGCAGGGGCTGGTATAGGGCTGCTTCCCCAAAGAAAAATTCTTTAAAATCATGCAGTTTTCCCCAAAAATTGAATTTACATCAAGTTTTTTCTTCCCCTTTTGCAAATATACAGTGTATTTTTTCCCCAAAATTAAGGGCTGGGCTGCTTTCCCAACCTGTGAAAAAAAGCCCTGACTAATCATGATCAACATCCATGCCAAATATGAAGACTGTGGGTCAAAGGAATCTAAAGTTATTGGGCAGACAAACTTTTCGAAGTCAAAGTCCCTGTGACCTTGACCTTTGACCTCAAAATCAATAGGGGTCATCTACTAATCATGACTAACCTCCATTCCAAGTATGAAGACTGTGGGTCAAAGGAATCTTAAGTTATTGGGCGGACAAGCTTTTTGAAGTCAAGGCCCCTGTGACCTTGACCTTTGACCCAGTGACCTCAAAATCAATAGGGGTCATCTACTAATCATGACTAATCTCCATGCCAAATATGAAGACTGTAGGTCAAAGGAATCTTAAGTTTTTGGGCGGACAAGCTTTTTGAAGTCAAGGCCCCTGTGAGCTTGACCTTTAACCTGGTGACCTCAAAATCAATAGGGGTCATCTACTAATCATGACTAACCTCCATGCCAAATATGAAGACTGTAGGTCAAAGGAATCTTAAGTTATTGGGCGGACAAGCTTTTTGAAGTCAAAACCCCTGTGACCTTGACCTTTGACCTAGTGACCTCAAAATCAATAGGGGTCATCTACTAATCATGACTAACCTCCATGCCAAATATGAAGACTGTAGGTCAAAAGAATCTTAAGTTATTGGGCGGACAAGCTTTTTGAAGTCAAGGCCACTGTGACCTTGACCTTTGACCTACTAACCTCAAAATCAATAGGGGTCATCTACTAATCATGACTAACCTCCATGCCAAATACGAAGACTGTAGGTCAAAGGAATCTTAAGTTATTGGGCGGACAAGCTTTTTGAAGTCAAGGCCCCTGTGACCTTGACCTTTGACCTAGTAACCTGAAAATCAATAGGGGTCATCTACTAATCATGACTAACCTCCATGCCAAATATGAAGACTGTAGGTCAAAGGAATCTTAAGTTATTGGGCGGACAAGCTTTTTGAAGTCAAGGCCCCTGTGACCTTGACCTTAGACCCAGTGACCTCAAAATCAATAGGGGTCATCTACTAATCATGACTAACCTCCATGCCAAATATGAAGACTAAGGGTCAAAGGAATCTTAAGTTATTGGGCGGTCAAGAAAAAACCGACGGACAGCCGGACGGACAAGCTGATTCCAGTTTACCCCCCTTACAACTTTGTTGTGCGGGGGTATAATTATTATTATTATTATTTGTTATTAGTATTATAATAATTATATATGTTTCCAAATATGCTAGTATAATAATAATTATTGTCGATGGTATAATTTTCTTTATATTTATTATTATTTTTATTATTATAATTATTATTAATTTGTTATTATTATTATGATTATTATAGAAACGGCAAAAGCCGTCCATATGGCAAATACGCCGAAAATGACAGGGACGGCATAAGCTTTGTTGTCCCTATTGCAGTGAAAGGGTTAAAAAGATCATTTCATTTCTTTTCTTCATAATTTTTTGCTACAAATTTATAATACTATAATTAGCACTTAATCGGTTTAACCGCTCTAATTCACTAAATAAAACCTACCTATTTTTTCCAATAATTCATCCTTTGATATTTCAGGGTATGTAGGACTTCCGTTAGTATCGCTTCCTCCATTAGGTCCATCAGAACCGCATGCTTCTTTTACAGGGTACTGAGCTTCTATTTGTTGCTTTATACGATCAATTTCACTTTGTTGTGGGTTTGACATTTTTCCTAATGCCCTGTGTAACAAAGTTTAAAATTGTGATTTAATATTTTCAAAAATTACAAAAGATTATCATTAATTATCATTATTTATATTACTGCTGTAGTCACAACTGTTAGTCCTATTTATAAGCCATGAAATTCCAGCTATATTCCGTTTGTACAGTGCAATTTATTGTACAGTTCATTATTGCATGGTCTGTAAAGATTTCATAAGCTTTAAATATTAATTGGCTTTATATACTGGTCTTAAAATCCTTTGAACTATAAATACAGTAGAACTTCGGTAAGTCGAAGTTGAAGGAACTTGGGTAAAAACTTCGACACATCGGGACTTCGACTCATGAATCGCTCTCAATTCCATGACAAAATTTCGACCCGTGACTAGTGCTAATCATAAGATCTCAAGTGCTAATCATAAGATCTATAACGAAACCTTGTTCATGTTTTTCAATCATTAATCAGATATTTTACATTTAACTATGATAAAAATAGCATGTTAGATAACGTTTTTCACGGCTTATTATTTTGACTACCCGTTGACGTATACAATAGAGTTACAAAAGGCGTAACAGTAAGAAAGGGCGATAACTAAACCGGCTTAAAGTAAATATTTCGCGTGTTATTCTTACGCAACACCGGGTCATAGATGTTTTCAAATGAAAGTAGTTCTTACTGTTTACTTTCAAATACCACTACGGCAATTAAAATAGTAACGATTAAAGCATTTTATCACACATTTTATCGCAAACAAAGGCTGTTTGAACACACGGATGTGTTGTTGACACCTGTCACACAAGTTGATTGGAAATCGTCTTCTCAGCCAGATAAGGTGTGAAAAATGTCTTGAGATCGAAGGTGTCAAAATAATCGAAAGACTTCGACTTATTTGTGGTAAATTGCACTAGATTTACTTTATACGGACCACGAAAAAACTTCGACACATCGAAAAATTCGACACATAAAATCTCGACTCATAAGTAGGTTTTTATAAGGAATATATAGGGAGAAAAATCGGGACTTTCATTTTTCTTCGACACATCGAGAAAATCGACTAATCGAAGTTCGACTCATAGAAGTTCTACTGTATACAGATAGCCTTTGCAATAATTCACCATGAAAGATTGTTTAATGTTATGATAATTACTGCATTTAGAACATTTAAAAAATAATAAGATATGGTGTTTAAACATAAATTGAATTAATTTTAGTACTTTTAGTACTTCTCATAGTAATATCAGGGGTTAATGAGGTCAACCTAAACAAGAAATGTTAGAGTATTCAGTGAAATATAGCCATATTTTGAATTCTGACATCACTTTTGGGAGGGAAAAATTCAGCACATTTCAGTGAAGTTGGACATCTTGTCTAGATAAATACTTACTCTGCTAATTCTTTATTTACTTGTGCTGTTATCAATTCACACATGTCTATATTAAAGGAAAAAGAAAATATATACAGTGAAAGAAAACATAAAATTGAAAAATTTGATGCCATCAAAAGTTATAACTCAATACACTTATGCAGTCAAGTTTAAATTTCTATTAAATTTTCAGCTCTACAGATATTTAAGTTTGTTTCATGAGGTTGGGTTTTCTAGGCTGGTCACACATTTGCAGAAGTCATGCTATAACATGTGCGTGTAAGTGAAAATCCCGCATCTGAATAGAAGAACTTTATCAAAAAGCACAATATTTTCAATACATAAACACTGGAAACTGAAGGGAGATATTATGTCAAGCTTAACCAAAGAGCACCAGGAATACTGTGGTAACACTTGTCTGTAAAGGGGCATAACTCCAAAAAAATATAGCTTTCACAATGATCGATGGCTTTGTTTTACAACTGCAAGCTATTGTTAATGATATATCAATGATATTCAACATTTGATCCAACGTACATTCATAATTTAGAATATCAATACAATTTAACACCCATTTCTGCAAATACCTAATTTTTCTTAATCCTGTGCTTGCTGGAATCAGTATAACCTAGTTGTGAGGCAGACTATAATGTTGTCAGATCAACTTTTGTATTTTGTTACTCAGAAATCCCTTACAAATTTTGTAGCCAGAGACACTCACTGAACATTATTTCATGTGTTCTTTTATATTGACTGCAAAACAGCCATGACACATATAAATTTATTATGTCAGATATAAATTATTTAAATAATTTTCCGCTGCAAAAGCTATTTAATTTGATATATCACCAATATTTGGCATTTGATATACATGATATCAAAATTTCTTCAATGGCAGTCCTATATTAATATACCTTTTTGGGTCTAATTATTATCTAACATTCTTACATAAACAAGGTTTCAACTTAAAAAAGCAGAAAAATACATTTTAAAAATATAGTCGGGGAAAATGTTTAAAGGGTCAGTACTCACTTTCACATTCTGAAGGTGCGTTAGCACTGTATTTATTTGCGATTTCCGCTTTTTCCTGTTCAGTACTGGCTTGATTTATTGCCCTGGTGAAATAAAAAAATGTTACATAAAGTATCAAATATTGTAATTCCATACAGTATTTAGGTCATTTACCTATCATGTTAACTATTTTAAGCGTAACTTACAAATTGAAATAAAATAGCACATTTATGCATGAAATGGCATTTCAAGTAATATTATTAGAGGACATGTATATGAAGTTCAGATGAAACAACAACATTTGAGCCGCGTCACGACAAAACCAACATAATGGGTTTGCGACCAGCATGGATCCAGACCAGCCTGCGCATCCGTGCAGTCTGATCAGGATCCATGCTGTTCCCTTACAGACCCTATAACAAGTAAAGAAACTGGTAGCAAACAGTATGGATCCTGATTAGACTGCGCAGATGCGCAGGCTTGTCTGGATCCATGCTGGTTGCAAACCCATTATGTTGGTTTTGTCATGACGCGGCTCATTTTTTCTCTTGTTATGAGTCAGTGTGATGATATGATTATATTAGTATGTTGCAAGCATCTACCTGTATTTTTGTGTGCAGTTCTGCTGTAATCTACAGTTGTTTAATTCAAATGCTCATTATATGCTTTAAATTTCAAATGAAAAAAAAAAATGCATGTAAATATTAAGTGGATCAGATGCAAGAGTGTAAACCAAGGGGGTCAGACATGAAAAAGAAATGACTTTTAACATTTCCAAGTTATTGCTGTAAAACATAAGAAGGAAAGTCAGGTTTTATTGACTTACAACATGTTTCATGGAGTAAAAATACTTTTCAAGTGTTGACAAGAAAGTCAATGAGTAATTTTAGATACCCAGTGAAGAAACAAATTACTTTGAATGCTGTTTTATGCATAGACTAAAATCCTCAGTTTGATCAACTGGTTGAACTTAAAACTTATTGAATATAAAAATGGTGACTCACTCATACATTTCTGCTTGCCATTTCTGAATTGCTTCCTGGCAGATTTCTAGAAATAAAAATTATTGATAAAGACTAATGTTACTTTTATCCTAATAACCTGCTGCATTTGTGTAATGGATCAGGCTTTTTTTGCTTTTTTGTTGTTGAAAAGTCCATTTGTATTATAAGAGGTTTCATTAACAAACTATACAAAAGTTGAGAGAGTCTGGTCATACAGTATGCAAATGCAGGCCAGTCTAGCTCTATCACTGACGCAAAGGGTTAGTTAACACTTTCAGTTCTAGGAGGTTACGTTTAATTCAAAATGTATCATACATACTGGTTATCATCAATAGAAACAATATCAATTTTTCTGTTGATCAATAATAGATCAATACGCATTTCAAAAAATAAAAATTTTGACTAATCAATTAAATGTCTAGAAATTTAAAAAATTCACCCTGAACAATATGCAGAAGCAGGTGTCTATGTCTAACTTAATGCTGTTGTTACGTAATGGAAATATTTCATAGCTATGATGACAAAAAATGGTCAGGAAAAAAAACTTGCAATGAACATTTATAAACAAGACACTGAACAGAACATGTATTTTACTGAAATCATTTAAATTGGTATGAAAGTGAATCACAGACAATTATAGGTAATTATCGATATATCAATGTTTCATTGATATTTGTAAATATAGAAAATGTTCTGTTCTGTTCTGTTCATTTTACTCCTTTTTCCAACAGTATATCAGTCTTTTAGGCGGGTAGTTTCCTAACCATGGTTCCTGGAGAGTTACATCAGTATTAGACTACCTTCCTCCGCGCTAAACTACCAAAGCATCTCCCGGGGATCGAACCCATGCCAGAGAGGTAACTGGATTAGAAGTCATCGACTCTAACCCCTCGACCACGGAGGCGGTAACTATAGAAAATATTCCGGAAATAAAATAATACTTAAATGCCCAAATATAGAACTTTTTACATGTTCATACCCACTTTTTTTCAATTATGTGGAAATCAAAATGCAAAAAGTAATAATTAAATGCCTTGCACAACCCAATATATCATACTTAGATAGCATCCAATAAAGTAAATGTTATCATGTTTGACTTATAAATATATCTTCTATTTTACAGTTGCCATCAATATTGAAACAATCCATTTGAAATTTTTTGGGCACTTTTTTAGAGAAATCTTGATTGTAATGTCTGTTGTTTTTTAATGTTTTTTTTTTATATTTGACAAGTGACTGTAACAGCTGTAAGACTTTAATATCATGTTGGAAAAAAAACATTTTTGATTAATGTAAAATAGTCTCTTAAAATTAAACTTACTTATTTTTGCCAATAATTCATCTTTTGTTATTTCTGTACATTTACAAAGGCCAATCAAAAGAAAACCTGAAAAAGATAAAGGATAAAAGATTAATTTGTATGATGAAGTCTTTAAACATCACAGATTTAGAACTCTAGCATACTTTTTTAGCATATGTTAAACTATGAATGATTTGCCCATCAAATAAAAATATAAAAAGGTCAATTTCAAAACCTCCATCATAGATCTAAGGGTTTTGTAAAACTATCAAGGCACTGTAAGTCATTAATTAAAGCACACAGAGCAAAATATTTTATTTTCATTATTTACAAATATAACAATATCTCCAGTTATCACAATGGTAAATATTTGATCTGCATCAATTTATCAATTATTGAATGTTGTTAAAATGACCTACATATGAATACATTCTTCCAATGTTGACAAACGAAGTCTGTCCCAGCCATTGTTTCTCTATTTCGCTGCAAAAAAAGATAAAGAAATTCCATAATGTTTTATGTTTTGAATACTTTTTTATGATTCAAGTACAATACAACTAATAAAGACACTACATTATATTCTAATGTATCCATGTAGCATCTTGCTAAGAATTTACAAATAAATTGGAGCAAATAGAGCTCTATAGTACTACTGCAAACCATGTGGGACATAATACAAATCTATAATAGATCTAAGATCAGTTGAGTGACATGTGATGACGTAATCAGAACATTAACTAAGCATGGTGGGATTTTACAAAAATCATCAACTATTTGTATTCTGCATTTTTTTTGGGGGGGGGGGGGGGGGGGGCGGTTGGTGGGTTGGGGTGTTTGGTGGGGATTACCAACACATATAGGCCATATGGGTCTCAGGCCTCGACAAATCCAAAATTGATCAAACTCGGGCGAGTAAGATTCTCCAGATCCAAATGATTTTTCTCAGAATATTCAACAGAAATGAATATATTCGGTAAATTATCAAACAGTCACCATTTCAATCGTTATACAGTCAACCAAAAACCGGAAACTGACCTTATGATTTAAAGTATAAAACTTTACCGAATGCTAAGATGAATTGTTTCCATAACGCCAGCAACATTCCACAATGTTTTTTACATACTCATTCAGTAATATTTTATACTTAGCCATGAGAATAAGAGTATTATATTAATAAAACAATGATTATTGAACAATATGTAATTGAATAAAGCCAATTATACCAATATAGACCGGTAAGTAGTAAATTTGCTTTTTTGTTTGATTTTTACAAATTTTGTCCGTCAAAATGCAGGGCAAGTGCATTTTATGAAGGGCAAGTAAATTTGGAGGGTCACTTGCAACACAGAGCTAGTGGCCCGAAAAAAATTCATCGAGGTCTGGACTTTCCAGCTTTACTTGTGGAGACCTCATGTACCCTTCTGTGCATTATTTCAGCCACAAACGGACACCTGAGTAAAACCAATGACGTTCCCTTAGCTAGCTGGATAGCTTTCTGAGGTTCTCACATGAAAGAATTCAAGACCCTTGTATGGTTTAAACCTACACAAGTGACAGGAAAGTTTGAAGTCAACAACCTTAACCACTCGGGTCCACTGTACAGTGTTCAATCTAGAGCACGCCATTGCGCTATTGACCCCCTGAAAAGACCGCCGGCGCAAAACAATTTCAACTGTGGGCCCGACGGGCGCACTAAAAAAAAATGCCATTAATGATCTTAAACCTGATTAAGTACATAAAAAGTTTCTTGTGAATAACATTAATAAATACTGAATTCAAAACTGAAGTTTGTATAGAAAAACAAGAGCATATTGGTATTAGATAGTTACCGCACTCGAGTGCGGTAGCCGGTAACCCTTTTAAAACCTTGATCGCTACGCTCTCTCTGTCCGGGTCTGTAAATACTATGCAGACCTATTCTTCATACCGTAACTATTACTTACTTTTGAGTCACAGTTTTTATAAACAAAACAAATTGTCACAGATAATCCAATGTGTGCGTGTAGTTATAGTTTTTTAACGGTCAAAACAAATTAATATGCAGTAACTTTCCAGAGGAAAAAAAACTATATATTTGTGAAAAAGTGCGAGTTAATTATTAAGGTGTGCATAAATTATTACGAACACTCCTTCAACCAATTAAAAAAAAGTCTTAAAGATGGAGCTAATCAAACACGATTGGCTAGGGAGTGTCTGACAATTTAGTAAATAAAATTTGATTGGTCTTTGGCTGGTCGGCGCTAAAACATATCATTAATCAATACAGACATCTTAAGCGAGACGTAAGAACTGCTGTCCTGACAAAAGATCAAAGGTACCGGTATGTCAATATACATTGTCTTAGCACCTGTTGACACTTTGTTTTTAGCTTGGATATATTGAGAAGGGTAAATGTTTTGAGCGACTATTGTAAGTTTATACGCTAATTGCAAAATATGATTTTCCTTTATATATCAGGCGCCGATTAAAAAACTGAACATTGTTATCAAATATCCCTGGTAACATTTAAATAAGATTCATGTTTTTTTCAACATCTTAAAATTGAGCCTGCATCAACGCTAACAGAACTCTCGAAAAAGGTCCAAATAATGTCATTTTTTAGCTCGACTATTCGATAAGAATAAGTAGAGCTATTGCAGTCACCTGAGCGTCGGCGTCTGCGTCGGCGTAACCACTTATGTTTTTGTAATAGTTCAAATATTTTCAAAGTCCATTGACATATGGCTTTGAAACTTTGCACACTTGTTCACCATCATGACCCCAACTTGTAGACAGGAGGAGGTAACTCTATCAAGCATTTTGACAGAATTATGCCCCTTTTTCGACTTAGAATTTATGTTAAAGTTTTTGTAATACCTCAAATATTTTCAAAGTTCATTGACATATGGCTTTGAAACTTTGCACACTTGTTCACCATCATTACCCCAACCTGTAAACAGGAGGAGGTAACTGTATCAAGCATTTTTTTTTTACTATCAAGCACTTAGAATAGTCGAGCGTTGCTGTCCTACCGACAGCTCTTGTTTAGTTGAGTTGATTGTTATGGAATTTTGCAACCGTTTTTGGTCTATATATGGTGCGTGAACAAGTAACTAAAAAAGATACAATACCTTATTTGAATTTGATGTTCATTTTAAGTGTTGGCCCCCTTTTTTCTCAAATGACCCCCTTTTGAAAAGTTTATGGGCCCAAAGGGCCTGCTGGAAATATATTCTAGATTGAACACTGACTGTATTCTGCTCTATTATTATCTTTTATGCAACTCTTATACGACTGATGATTTCAAATTATTTGACATATTTTAATTATATAAGTATCATTTTGCATTTACAAGCATTTAAGGTGGCTGGGATATTTGCCAAATTATAAATATGTTTTGTAAATTAATTGATAAAACTAAACAATTTCAAATCAAGTTATTAAACATCATTTATAAAAGTAGTGCATCCTTTTTGTATAAGAAATGGTTAATTCAGTTAGTACCTAAAAGTACTTAATATCATCTAGAAGAGTATGTTAAGAGACTAGAATAACAATAGTAGCTTAAGGTCTTCAGTGTAATGGGTCCAGTGTTCAATCTAGTGCGAGATAATCATAGAGAAGTGTGCATAAATTATTACGAACACGCCTTCATCCAATTAAAAAAGTCTTAAAGATGGAGCTAATCAAACACGATTGGCTAGGGGGTGTCTGACAATTGAGTAAATAAACTTTGATTGGTCTTTGGCTGGTCGGCGCTAAAACATTGTGCATATCATTAATCAATACACGTGACGTAAGAACTGCTGCCCTGACAAAAAATCAAAGGTACCGGTATGTCAATATACATTGTCTTAGCACCTGTTGACACTTAGTTTTTCGTTTGGATACAGGGCACTCGTTTGGCCATTTTTGGGGCCGAATATCGACCCCATTCCCCTCTCAAAATCATATGCTTTTTTCCCCTATTTCAGCAGAAAATTCCCCTAAAAAAAATTGTAGTATAAATGTTTGATATTAAAAAAAAAAATGATGTTTTGATTTCTGTTTAACTTTCAATGGATTGAAAACTAAATTACAGTTGTCAACAACGCTGTATGTTAAAACCGAAAGTAGTAGGAAGTGAGAAATGTACAAGGGAGGTAACTCTCGTAAAATTATTGACAAAATTAATGTGGCAGATAATCATCGTAGGAGTTTACCTTATATTCAATTTGTTTAGAGAATAGACATACATTGTTATATTCTGCTAGTAAATAAACAAAACTATTTTAATTTCTGTCAGTTGTTGTTGGAAAAAACGTATTTCTCTTGCAGTTTTGTACTCAAATATTTTCGTACCAAATATTTTCATACCCAGTTTTACAATTACAGACAATTTTCTCTGAAACCAAAACCTTTTTTAGAAAAGGCATTAAACTTTCTTGTTTATTTTTATTTAATTCTTATTTCAATTCTCATTGTTATAATTGTTTCAATCTAAAGAACAGGCAGAAATATGTAGAAAATAGATTAAGAACTGACCAGTGCAGATCGCAAAATAGTGTGATACATTTTTATCTTTAAAAATAAAGAAACAGTTATGACTATAATAGGAAATAATTTTCCTGTGTTTTTACAGAACTTGGATACAACATACCCTTGCCTAGGAAAGTCTGCCTTTCCAGAGCTTGTTGCACTGATTCAATTTTTGTTGTACAAGTTTTTTTTTTTAAAAAAAACAACAACAAAAACAACTGTCAGTTTATTTTTTTTATTATAAACAAAAATGCATTATGCTTGTTATAGATTTTAATATAACCCCAACGTTTTTCAGAATTTGCATTTTACCCCTCACTTTAGAATTTGAGGGGTATAAAACCCTTGGCCAAAAACATATCTGAAGCTCTGATTGATGTCTGAGCCAGTCAAGTGCAATAAGAAAGCAATAAAGAAAACAATGAGATAGCCTATCTCAAGAAAAACTTCATGTCATATGTTTTATTTGTTAGGTCTATAGTAATAAATATACTAGCTATTGTAAGTAATGGTAGGAAATTGTGCCAAGAGTTAGTGTAAAACCTAAATTTAAAGAACTCATATATGGCTTGAAATTCCCCTTTTTGTCTTAAAATGATGCAAAATTCCCCTTCCTGAGGGTATGGGTACCTGTCCCCAAAAGTTGTCTAGTGCCCTGGGATATATTGAGAAGGGTAAATGTTTTTAGCGACTATTGTAAGTTTATAGTCTTAAATGTCATCGTTTCTTTACCAATCAGTTCTTAAAATTGAGCCTGTATGAACGCTAACAGAACTCTCAAAAATGGTCAAAATAATGTCATTTTTGGGGAGGCTATGCCGACCCAATGTTAATAACTGTTCGTCAAATCTTACTGCCGCGGTAATCAGGTCAAAAAATAGTACCTTGATCTTTTCTAAGCTGACTCATCAGTCATCACAGACATTTACAATATGAAAATATTTTCATTCTTTAATTTCATATCTGCAATTTGTAAAGATAATAAT